ATAAAAAACGTGTAGTGTATAGTAAGGATAAACAAATTAATATTCATGCATTACACATTAAACATAAACAGAATAATCCAACGACAACTGATTACATGACACCACCTATTGAAGAGCGTGCACAGTTGCTAGCAGATGTTCATGAATTTGGGCATTTTGGATCTGCAAGTATAATTAAGGAGATACACCGTAAGGGTCTCCATTGGAATACCATCTATGATGAATCCAAACAATTAACAAGCTCGTGTGCAATATGCCAGAAGCATAATATTCAAAGAAAAGGTTATCACGGATTGACTAGTGTAACCTCGTATTTACCGTTCGATCATGTAGCAATTGATCTAGCTGGTCCTCTGACAGTAACTGAAAATGGAAATGTATATTTATTTGTGATGATTGATATATGCACTAAATATATTATCATCAGAGCAATACCTAACAAACAAAGTGATACCATCGTTAAAACAATATTAGATATAACCTCTGAATACGGATATATATCTTGTCTACAATCAGATAATGCATTAGATCTAAAGAATTCTTTAATGCAAACAGTTTGTGAAACATTAAATATTGAAAGAAGATATTCCACACCATATCACCCAAGAGGGAATGGTGCTGCGGAGAATGCTGTTAAATTATCGTTGAATACAATTAGAAAAATGTGTGACTCAAACCCTCAAGATTGGGACACGTATATTGGTATTGCACAGTTAGCAATGAACCACAAGATTAGAGAAAGAACTAATTCATCTCCATTCGCACTAATGTTTGGAAGATCTATAACTATTCCAAAAAAGGGAAGTGAAAAGAAGCCTACTCCTAATGACCCTATGACGATAGAAGAATTAGAAAAGAGAAATGAATTCATGGCTAAAATAGTATTTCCTGCAATAAAGGAACGTACCATGCAAATAACTAAATTGCAAGAACAGAAATTTAATAAAAATAACAGACTGATTGATATTCCGGACAATTCACCAGTTATGATAAAATTATCAAGGAGAGAAAATAAATTATCTCCTATATATAAAGGACCATACTTTGTAGTCAGAAGAACCAAAGGTGGAAGTTATATCTTGAAGGATGAGCAAGACGATTTGCTGCATAGAGAATATGTACCATCTGAATTAAAATTAATTACAATTAATGAAACTGAAATTGAAGATAACATATACGAACTGGATTCTATAAGAATGCATCGAGGAGAACCAGGAAATAGAGAATATCTCATAAAATGGAAGGGATACGGTGACAGGAGCAATACCTGGGAAAAGGCTGAAGCTTTCACCGATCCTACAGTATTAAATGCGTACTGGGATAAAGTAAGAAAATTAACAAAGGAGAAAAAGGTTAAGGAAATAACCAATGGGAAAGTTCCCAATATGAAGGACGCTCGTTCGATAAATAAATTAAGAGCCAAACCACTTGAACAAAGTAAGCGAAAAGTGTCGAGCGTAAATAAGCTATTGCCCGAAGAGTTAAGACGTAGTAAAAGAACTCGTAAAAATTAAAATGCCGTGTCGATCATTGATCAACTCTGGTGGGGGATAATGTAGTGGATTAGGAAATTAGGTTACACAATTACAAATATCCATAGTAGATACGGATATGGTGGAACCAGATCAGCTCTATCAATCAGGTCCACTATCTTTGACATAACACTAATAATCAATATCTACAGATAATGTTCTTAACCAATATGATAGCTATCCTTATCATACAATTATTTAGTATAAATACCTTTGATATTTTTCCCAATTATGAAGAGATCGTACTTATATTAACTTTGAATAAAAGAGTTTTAAAAGTATTCTTTTGTTTTTTTATTTCTTTTTTATAAATCAAACTACCCTTGATTTATTACAAATAGCTACAGGTTCATCATCGTCGAGACCGAACACAGTAGGAGTAGAATCAGAGGCAGCGCTACGCAATACACCAGGAAGAGAATCAATATACAGAGAGTATAAATGAGGACTAAGCACAGAGCCTTGCAACAAACCAGTGATGGGAGTGAATGGATCTGATCTATGATTGGCCAGCAATACAGAGATAGAAACATCATCAAACATATGGATGAGCAGGTTGAGCAGAGGAACAGGAAAAGAGGATTTTGAGGCAAGGATATTCCAGACTACACGACGATCCACCGTATCGTAAGCTTGTTTGATATCCAGAAAGGCAACAGAAGGAAAATGATAATGCTTGTTAAAGTAATCATGCATAAGATCATGCAGACACAAAGCTTGGTCAAGAGGACTACGCTGTTTACGAAAACCACCTTGGGCGTGATCAAGAGCGGGAGATAGTTCTGTAACATGTGAGACTATAGTCATTTCAAATAATTTTCGAAGAACAGAAGTGAGTGAAATGGGTCTATAGTTAGCGGGGTCAGTACGATCACCTTTTTTAAAAATTGGAAACACAGTAGCCTGACGCCATAAAGACGGTGTGTTGGACCACTGGTAACAAAGAGTAAAATAAAGTTTGAAAAAAGGAGCGAGGATGTCAATGACAGGCTTGAGCATTTCGGCTTTGATGTGATCTGGGCCTGGAGCTTTGTTGTTCGGTAATTCCTTGATACGCCACGATATAACATCATCATCCAAAAAAGGAGTGTTGTCAAGAGGGTGAGGTAAAAATGGTGTAAATGAACGGATGGTGGGCGGAGAGAAGGAGCAGGGAGAGAGGAACCACTATACACTGAAGATAAATGGGTGGACATAATATCAACAGCTTTCATGGGACCATCAGTATGCGTGAAGGAAGCGGTGTGAGTGTTGCGGGCTTTAATTCGAGAAATCGTTTTTGTGGCTTTGGGAAAGTTTGTCTCCAAACTTTTTTTAAATTCGTTCCACGATTCTCTTTTGATTCTTTGAATTTTTTTACGAAAAAGTTTGTTAGCTTCATCATGTTGATTCCACCAATGTACCTTGTCGATCCCAATGCTTCTACGCCAGCGTTTATAACATCGGTCACGATTTTCAGCAGCTTCTTGTAATTCAGTTGTCCAGTACTTGTGCCAGTAGTCGGGACGAGGAGGAGTGTTACCAACGGAAAGATCTAAAGAATCATACACACATGCATTGAATGACTCGTTGAATAAATCAAGAGATGGACATAGCAGAGGTGGAGAGGAAATCCAGTTTTCGAGCTTGGTGGTGAGAGGTGCAATCTTTTCTTTAATGGACTCACGGTATTTCTGGAGGTACGCAGGTTTTTTAAGTCTGTTTAAATTCCATAATCTACGTGGTGCCAACGGTCGATCGGGAAGAAGGGGGACATCATCGTGAGATGGCACAAGGTCGAATGTGAGGTGCATAAGACGATGGTCAGAGCTCAGAGAGAGGTCAGATTCAACTTGCAGAGCTGGAGAGACGAGAGAGGAAGGAGCGATATTTGTAATAAATAAATCAACAATGCTGGATATTTCTTGACCGAGTCGAAACCCAGAAAAGGTGGGAATACCATAGGCAAGAGATTCATTCAATATACGCAGTTGGTTGTCTGAAGACCAGGAGCGGAGACGGTTACCACGAGGGTTTGATTGATGATCACCAACAAAGGAGCCAAGGCGAGCATTAAAATCCCCACAAATGATGGTATTTGGAAGAAGAGGTATCGAATCAAGGGTGGCAAAAACTTGATTGATGGGCATAGATGGAGGAAGGTATAGACAATGAACACGAAGGTCACCTACTTTGAGGGAGAGCGTGTGATCATTGGGAGAAGGAAGTTGAAGGACTGTATATTTGCATAAAGGATTGAATAAAGCAGTAATACCACCTTTACCACGATTATTTGCATTTTGTACTTTTTGACCATAACAATGATATTGGGGCCAATTAGTAGGTAGGAGCATAGAGGGCGTAAGCCAGGTTTCAGTAATTAAGAGCATATCAGAAAAGAGCGTATGGGATAGTGGATCTTGAACAGTAGTAGCTTTTAAACCATTAGCGTTCAAGAGACTAATTTTAAAAGAGAGGGCCGACATAATTAGAGCACCTCTTCGGTAGCAATAATTTCTGTAGGTGCAGACACAAACTCGTCATCTTCATCCATGGCTTCAGTGGAATTTGATTGTGAGAGTGGTTTGGTAACAGGAGCATTGAAGAGTTTGGCTGTCTCTTCATTGATTCGTGACTTGGGATCTTGGGAGGGCATTTTGGTTATTTCCAAAAGTTCTTCTTCAGATATATATCCAAGGTCAACGAACGAGTAACCAACTGGCTTAACCTGGGTAGGACGAGCGGTATGGAGATACAACAAAGCTTGCTTACAACGGTTGTTGTTTAGTGAAGCAGCAATATCAGCACGAGCAGCAGCGGTGTAGGACTTGTATATGGGATTAGCCAAATGTTTTTCGTCCAAAGGATCAAAGTCGTTGATGATACCGGCTTTGACGTTAGTCATGATCTTGATGAAGGTGGAGGCATAGGAGGCGTGCACAAGAACACCGAGTACACCATTCGCAGGAAAAGTGATATCAATAACACGGCTTGTATCAATACCAACTAATTTAAAGCGCTTACGAGTTTCTGGGCGCGTGATCTTACGAGAGCGACCAATATAGATATATTGGAAGCCTTGAGGTTCATTAGGGTCACGTTCCATGAAAGGTCGGGCTGCTTTTGCAATAGCTTCAGCGGAAAGTTTTTTAGCTTTGGGCTTGGGCTGGACCGGCTTGCTAGCCTTTTTTGCTACAATTTCAGCCATGGTAGGCTTACTTTTGGTTGCTTGGGGTCTAGTAGAGGCATGGGTGGGAGGCTTGGAGGAAGAGGAAGAGGGAGGTGCTTTACTCCAAATGCTAGCATTTGAGGATAAATCCCTTTCTTGAGAGTCGACCTCCATGGAGGTGTCGGTGGGACGGTAAGGTGATGCTGTGAGTTTAGCTTTGAGTGCTGCGATCGTGTCACCTTGTTCACGAATTGTTGCTTTGAGTTGAATATTTTCTTCCAGGATCTGGTCGATGGCTGAAAGACGGGTTTCATATTCATCTAAGCGACGAGCTTGTTGACGAATTTGCTTTTGCATTTCCAATGCAAACTCAGGGATACTGAATGCTAATGTATCACCAATATTTGCTGGTGGTACATGAGGGAGGGACGAATCCAGGGTCGACATGACGGGGCTATCATCAATTTCAGTGATGGTAGCAGTAGGGGTAGAAGGAGCAGCGGGAGACGTATCACGGGAGATAGGTTTTTGACCATTGGGGATGGTACCTGAAGAGACAAAGGTGATTGCTGAAGATTCAGGAGAGCCAGTAAAGCGGCGAACCGTAGCAGTAGCTATTTTCTTCTTATGAAGAAAATCTGCATCGGGGTCAGCGACGACATGCTTGAACGTTCCATTACGAGTCAAAGGCTTCGTAATATCCTTACGAGGAACAGAAATGGAGGTAGGTGGGCCTCGTTTCTGGGAAGAAGAGTTAATATTTGACATTATAGTAGGTTATATTATAAATACGACCTTATAGTGTCCAAATATGGGGCGTTCAACAATTAAGGTGTTTCTTGAATTACAGTATTGGGTTTAGCTGTAATAAGAGAGGGTTCAGAAAAAGTTTGAACAGGAAAGCAATAGAGGATGTTCACAGATGTAGGAATGTCTTGTGAAATCGTCGAAATGGCGGAAAACAAAAGTCTTCAGAACTTGGTGAGTTTTTGTCTGAGGGCTTTGGGAGTTGTACTAAAATGAACAGACGAGTTTGCTTGTTATTTTAATGCGTAGTTGGAGGCGGTTCTAGTATTGCTTGATATTTCGAAAAATAAAAGATTGGTTACACAAAAAAATTTTTTATAAAATTCTTTAAGCGAAAGAAGGGTGGGGGTTGTAGCTCAGGTTAAGAAAGGTTGGTTTTTATTTAAAGAAATAAATGGTAATGTATTTGGGCGATCCATAGATATAATGCCTTATTACCGAGAAACAAGCTAACAAAACTAAACTAATTTAAATTATGGATAAATCCAGAGGGTTGTAAAGATAAAGAAGATAAAAAAAGTTAACAGCAAAGAAAAGAGATTGAAATGAGAGGTGGGAGGGGGAGAATAAGAAGATAGTGATTGGATCTGCACTGAGGATTCCTCGCAGTCTAATCGAGCCTATACAAAATACGCAACACACCGACCAGAAACACAAAAAGAAGATAAAAAGGAGAGCGCGAAACAAAAGAAAAGGAAGCAAAACCAAAAGGAGAGAGAAACAAGAGAAAGAGGAGACAATTAGAAAACTTTGGTATAAAAAAGTTAAACAGATTCAATATCCGGCATAACAAAGTCTTCAGGGTTCGGTTCAGACAACAACTTGGCTGTTTCGTGGTCATGATGAAGAAGAAAACCTAAATAGCTTAGTTGCTTATTTTTGGCAGCTAACTTTTCAACAGAGGACGTCTTGTTGGGAGTGGGCTTTGGTAGGGATGACCTGGCTTCGAGTTCTTCAGCTAAAATAGCATCGAACTGTTTTTGATTGATTCTTTCGTAATGCAAAAAAGAACGAGCAACGGAGAGACGAGCAGAGCGGCGGACAAAAGAGAGGGCACGTAAACACCGAAGGTTTTGTATTTCATGTGCTTTCTGGCACCGTAATTCCAGAGAGAGATTGGCAAATTTGGGATCTTTGAGCTTGGCTGGATCCAAAGGATCATAGTCATCAAGTGGTACGGTACCACGGCCTTTGTTGTGCATAACACTTGTAAATTCTACCACAAAGTCGGTGTGTAACAAAAAGGATATCACTCGGGAGTCAGGGTACTGAATATCAAGTATTCTTGAAACATTCACGCCAGTAGCTTGAAGGGTTCGTCTCAGTTCTTTCAGCGGACGGCGAACAGAGGTGCCGTAGTACAAGAATTGGTACTCAGATGGTTTGTTGGCTTGAGGACCAAAGAGCCTACCAACGGTGGCAGTAGCACGACGAACAGACGGCAAAGGGGTCTTCTTTTTTACCTGTTTTTTTGTCTTGGGAGGGGCAGCAGCAACATTGGCATAGCTTGGGGGCTTTTGACTTGTTGGAGGTGGAGGGGCGGAATTAGAATTTTCTTTTTGGAGAGCCAAAAGAGTAGAGACTTGCTTCTCTAATTCGCGTCGAGATGCTTCAGATCTTGCTAAGGCTGTTTTGAGCTGGAATATTTCGTCGTGAGCTGATTCGAGCCGGGAGAGACGCTCGTTGACTTGGCTCAGGTATTCCGGAATGGGAATCGACATTCTTTTCAATGATTGAGAATTGTCGAGGAATGGTGGGGAAACAAAGGAAAATGGACGTTTGAGACTATTTCCAAAAGATGCAGGAGGTTCGGTTTCGTCAGAAGGTAAATTGGGATCTGAGAATTGACGATCTGAATCTGCTTGGAATTCAGGAATGTCGTTCTGGAGGGAGGAGTTTAACTCGGAGTTCGAAACGGTTTGTTCCACTGGATTGCCCGGTGTCACTTTAGTTAAAATTTGATTGGATTGCAACGGATTGAGGAGGATTTGATGATGGATGGATGCGATGTAACTTTTTCAAAAATTTTGGATGCAAAACTTACTGAAAAATTCTTTAAGCGAAAGAAAGGTGGGGGTTGTAGCTCAGATGAAAGAGGGGTTTTTTATTAATTAGAAATTAATTGTAATTATGATGGGCGATCCATAGATATAATGCCTAATTACGAGGACGAGATGAGGAGGAAGTTTATAATTAAGGAGGGAAAGTTAGAAAATGTAAGGGTAATATGAAAAGGGCGGTAATGGCTAAGTCTATTTGGCTGTTTTTGGCAGGAGTCTCTTGCTTATTTAATTCCCGGGGGGGACACCTAAAACTTGCTGAACACATCACGTCTTGCATTGTTCTTCGCTTGACCGCCGAAAAGACAACAGTAAACCACCTCAAAGGGATGGGAGAAGAACTAGCCAGACCAGCTGGCAGCTAGCAGGAGCCCAAACAGGGAAAGTGAGTTGAACGTACGGCGCATTGAGGATTCCTCGTCCGACAAGACAAGCACAGCTAAAACTGATGAAAACCTACTACACAAGTTATAGTTATGATTAAACAATGCGCTTGGCCGGATTCGAACCGGCATACCACCTAAGAGTATTTCATAAACGCAAACGCTATAACCACTTACGACAAGACAGCATGTATGGGGTTGTAGCTCAAATGGTAGAGCGCTCGCTTAGCATGTGAGAGGCACTGGGATCGACGCCCAGCTACTCCAGTCCTACTTTTTATTTTTTCCGAAAAAATCGGAGTTTAAATATGTGATTATAGGCAAAATTGCCCATAAAAGGCAATTTTGCCTATATTCGCAATTTTTTTTTTTTTAATGCAGGGTTAAAACGTCATTAGAAAGTCCCTGTTATTTTTAAATAGTGATTCAATCTGGATATTGATTGTTGTGTTTTATTGGTAGAGGTTTTGAGTTAGATAGAGGAAGAATCTAAATAAAAAGCTGAATGGTTTATTTAAGTATAATGATTTTATGGGTTTATATAGTTGTAGTTTGTCTCAAGGATCAGTAACGATACCCTTGAACAATCGGATAAAAGATAACTAAAGATATAATAACTAAACGAATTTAAATTAGAAAACGAAAAGGCTGTAAGATATTGCAACAACGCTAAAAGTTGGCTTAATAGAGAATAGATTCGGATGAGTGTAAATTTTATGTTCAAAGTCAAAAAAAAATAGCTGTTGGAAATCCGCATTGTAACAATAGTTTGAATTAGCTGTAATGCTTTGAAAAAATACTTGTATACTATAATATGATAGTTTTATTTTCTTGGTACTGATTTATCGAACAGGCGTTTTTGTGGGTTTTGGCATAGGTTGTGTAATTAAAAAAACTACATGATATTATTCAACAATTCATGGGGCTTTTATGAGTCACTCTGTTTAAATGAAACGATTAAAACTGTGATTTCAGATTTCCGTAAAATAAGTTTAATTAAATGTATAGTTCCTTAAGGAAATATTTAATTTGTTCCTGTGCATATATTATATGTTCTTATTTATCAAGTCGGTGGTTCATATTTTTATATCATTGAATCTTATTATATGTTCAATATTGACAGTGAAGTAGTTGTTACTATAGCGGGGCGGTTTTGCGATACACCATTTCTAATTGCGTTAAAAATGATCTCGGGTGAATTGTTGAAATAGCCCGGATACCATTTCTTGTTAATTTACAGCTTTTCCGATTTATAAATTATACGTAATATTGCAGTAAAACTTAAACCATATCATCGTTTATACTCTTGTATGTAGGACCAATAAAAATGTTAAAGTCGTTTGCATAAAATACGATGGTTCTTCAAATACATAAATACGTAAGACATCCGTAGTACATTAAGGCATATTAGTGACACTGGCAAAAATGTTTGTTTTTGTTTTTTGTTTCGTTGTGTACCATGGCAGATAACTGAGGATGAGGTACTTTTTCTTTCAAACATGGCAGAGCTAGTTTATAGTTTAAATTAGCTACATAATCCATGCTTTGCATTGTTTTTTTTTTAAACAAGAAACGAATATACCACTTAAATGTTGTTGATTAAATTGTGCATTAGAAATCTCACCATATCCGTTATCATTCTTTTACCTGAATAATCCACGCCAAATTATAATTCGACGCTCTCTTTTTTTCATGCCAAACTCTCGTGTTCGATTAATTCCTGATATGTGGGAGAGCAAAAATAGCATCAGCTTTGCTTGAGTTTGCTCAGCAACACGTAATACTGTAAACGAAGTTTACGTAGCTCATAATATCAATGAGATATAGCTTATTGACGGTTGCTAGCATTTCTTATTGTCATTCTGCTACTTACTTAGTTTTAAAATAAATTAAACACAAAAAATTAAGCCATACATGAGACAAACATAGTTATATGGAGTTCGCTGACTAAAATCAAACGAATTGATACGTCTCTGGAAGGGCACATGATTGTGAAAAAAAATGGGAATACGTGTATAATAAACTTTTTTGTTGCTTTGGATTCTGGATTTATATAATCCTAGATTGTTGAACCGAGAAATAATTCAGGCAAAATTGAGGCAAATACATTTTGTATTTACACACCAAAAAAAGCATATATAGGCGCTGGATCATATTTTGGTTATACTGATAAAATACCCCTAACATTGTCATTGTATACCACAGTAAAGCATCTGTTTAATTTCTTTTATAAATAGTTGAAATTATCAATAAAAACGGATTATTCAATACGTTTGGCATAAATTTAACATTGTTAGCGTTATCTGATTCCTTTGTTCTGGATCTCGAAGATTATTCCTGGTAGAAGAACGGCTAATATGTTAAATCCAAGCCTAAGAAAACTTTAAACAATTCACTTTATGTAAAATCTCATATATTGTTAAAAAGAGACACCAGGGGACTGCCTGATGGCATTTTTGCTTTGATCATAATTATGCTGTGGTTTGTTTTTGTGATATTCACTATCCACAAATTATATTCAGTTGCTGATTTTTTCTATAGCTCACTGTACTGGGAATTGTGCTTTGATGTAAACCAGAGAAAAATTGTGGTAACAGAACGCATTATGGCGGTACCTTTACAGGCATAAACTCTAATAATGTAGGAGATGTTAGAGGTGGCAGCGGGGGTGGTTTTTAATATAGTAAATACTTTAAATAAAATATACATCTATGACGGATATGATTTCAATCAAAGATTACAATAATTCACTTGCTAGACTTTTAAATGAGTTGAAAAAATCCCCCTCTCCCATTAATGGCTGGGACAACATAACTGAGAATTAGTCAGGTCTTGGATAATGTATCTACATTTGCCATTAACAATTAATATAATTTTAATCCAAGGCTATTTTTAAATAAGCCTGTCAACATAATGTATTATTGATTTGAGACGGTAATCCTTAAATCTCTTTATTTCAAAACTTTACAAAATAGGTTATACAACTGTCCAAAATACTTTTCTTTCTATTTACTAATATGTCTTAAATTTAACGATGGTTAAATTATTCTCTAAAAGCAAATTTGACAAAAAAAAAAAAAAAAAAATCTGTGGAGAGAAAAAGTGTAACACAAACAACACAATGTTGATCAGTAGTGGTAATACTTCTTCAAGCTTTGGTCCTTCTTTACAAAACAGGATCGTCTGAATAAAATATTGCATACGCAGCTTCAGTCGACAGATATCAACAGGGAAGTTTATCTTAGATAAATATATCGCATATTTAACAAAAGGAGAAACTGTATTTCAGGGAATAGATCTAGATGTAACAACTACTATCTGGATCAAAGGCGTATCAGACTATCTCCTATCGAATATTTTAGAAAAAAAAAAACTCATTACATCGGCAGGAAAGAAAAACAATAATCTGGTGTGGTCATTTATGGGAAACTGGTCCTGAATTACCACGTTTATAAAAAACCATGTTAGAAGAAGCCTAAATCAGTTATCATAGATCTTAAAAAAAAACGGTAAAGTACGACAGATTTGGTGGTTGTTAACAAAAATAGATCGACCATTACTTGCACTTCCTGTTTTGATGCGACTACTAAGCAACTAGCTTTTTTTTCAAAAAGAAGGAAAGCTACACAGAAATGGTCATAATAAGTCGACCACGACCAGTCGAAATCAAGACATTGCGTTGAATATTGCTCTGATAAGATTTCAACACTAGTTTTAGTTCATGGTTTCATTTTTCCTCCTTTTCGTTGTGGTGCAAATAGACTAAATAAGTAAGTTTCTACAATTACTCAATTAGACACACTTTCTACTAACATAACCTGGCCAATTTTTAGTGATTCCAACAACGTTATGCTGTCCAGATTGGTTATGAAATGATCTGGTAACTTGTTCTCTGTTATCTGTTCTTCTGATATATTATTGGCATTAATTGATGTGTGGCATTACATATATCATCCAAAATGTCGATTATCAAAATCGAGATCATATTTAATATGACTGGACTTTCAGTGTTTTATTTTTATTATGTTGGATTAGAGTAGTACGATTAGAATTTCTGTGGTAGGACAAATTACTTTGATGATTAAAATTATTTTTGAAGATATGGGAAAACTTTGACTACTCCTTTACCCTCTTTTTCTTACTTTTTTTTCTAAAGTCAACCTGCCTTCCTGAAGCATTTTAGCTGCTATAAAAAAAGTCTGGATCATGATGAACATATTTGCAATGTTAACAATGATTTGTTTGGCAAACAAAGTAGTAACGGTCTTAGCAGATCAGCCATTTACAAGATATAATTCGGGTATACATCTTACATAGTATAATAATGTCTATCTACTAAAAGAACAACTCCATATTTTATACATTATGACATTTAGGCTGCCAACTGCTGTTAAATGATACTCGCATTTACTGTTATTCTGGGGGGTATGCCAAAATTGTAAATCAGGATATTACGGCACTCCCAGATCACTACTACCTAGATGTTAGTAAAGATTTCTCTGTTGAAAGCAGCTATAACGCTTGGGTCCAAGTGTTAGATCCTCCAGACTTTGTGACCGAAGCGACATTTGGATATACCAGTGTTAAATTAAGTGACAATAGTGTTCTAATGAACGGTGGAACAGGATTAAACAATGGAAAAAGTTACATGAAAAATCAAACAGTTATTTATCACGCCGATACAAATCAATGGGAAGCTATTCAAAATGTGTCTTCTTTCTCTCAAACGTATGTATCTTTTGCTGTTCCGCAGTCATTTTTGGATTTATCCAAATCATTTCGATTGCAAAAGAATGTACTTTTTTCTGTCACACATGATGTTTAAAAACGAGTTTCATTTATTACTTTTATTAGTTACTACGGATCAGGTGCTCTTGTACAAAATAGCAGTGTTGTATTTTGGGGTGGCGGAGCGTAAGTTCTTGTGGTACATTTTTTTTTTAATGTATCAGGTTGAATCTGGGGCTATAGTGTAGTAATATTTATTAAATCGGACAATAGTGCAATCGGATCACTGGTTCAAACATTTGATGGTGTGGCCAAGCTTTCACTTGCTCAGCAGGTTTGCAGAACTTTTTTTAAAAAAAACCAATAGAGACAGGCTAACTAATTATTTAATAGAGTTATAAATGGAGTATGGAGGCCAACTCAGTAGCGCCTGGATATCCTCGTTACGGACATACTGCCACGCTGGATAGAACAGGAAAACTGATTTATTACTTTGGCGGCAGAGACATTGTCCGAGATCCTATATCCGCAGCCTACACTCGTCCCTATTCAACGTTTTCAAATATTTTAGTATATAATACTGATACAGCTGTTTGGCAATCAAAAACAGCCTCTAGCACAATAACACCATCTGGTAGAATGTCTCATACTGCTAACTTGAGTAAATACAAATTGAAGTTTCGAAATGAGTTTTCCACTGACATTAATACCCCTTAGTTCCTAACACGGACATCATAATTATTTATGGAGGAGCCGGACCCGATAGCATAGGAAGTTCGTAAAAAAAAACTCATTTATTTTATGGGGCGCAACCTAATTAAACTCATATTGCTTTAGATCGTATTCCAATTACAGATTATATTTATACTTACAATATGGCAACAAACGTAATTCAGCCTGTAAGTATTGAAGCATCTAATCTGGGCGCAGGAGCAAGATTTGGGCATTCTGGTAAGCTACGAACATGGTTATGTGAATGTAAATCTAATTTTTTTTTTGGATAAAGCCGTTATCAAGAACAATTTGCTGTTTATTATTTTTGGCATTGATACAACATTACTGGCTACGTCCGATTTTCATATTTTGGATCTGAAATCATTCACTTGGCAGAAGAATTATTATGCTACGGGGATTGTACCTAGCACGACAAATTTAACTGAATCTGGTACTTCCACTAGCATTCCATCAACTAAGGCTACGGGAGATTCTTCTTCAGAGTCTCAGGCTGCCGTATCCGAAACACAAGGGTTGTCCCACGGCGCAGTTGCTGGCATTTGCGTTGGGATATTTGCTATAGTAATATCTACGACAATATATAATTATTGCTCAGGTATTAATCGAAGTGTTTATTTAGATTTTTGTAGGATTATTTTGGTTGTTTTTGAGACACCGAAAGAGGCAAAAGAAGTTGGCCGAAGAACAGTTCCCGCCTTACTGGGATGTGACATCAATAAACAAAAATCAAGAGATTCTTGAAGCGGAAGCCCCCATCACTTCAACAGGACCTGTTGATATCACAAGATTACCAGGCTTCACTACCTGTCGCACTGGACTTCCGACAAATATCACTAACGACAATGATGTGAATCCTCCTCCGTCACAACCTCAAGTACTGTTATCTTCCAGCACCATAAAGACACCAGTACAATCTTCATCCGTTGATACATACATCACTGAACATGACACGAAAAAGGTTCTTCCCCCTGATATCGACAACGAGCTCGTTACTCCTTCTATTCCAACGGAGTTTGTCAAACCTGATACTACTGAAAAGAAAAACTGATATCCATAATATAATTACATGTCTTAATAAATAAGTGATTACAACAAAAAACTCAGTACCGGTTTAGCTGAATTTTAAACCAACACTCTATCGAAGTAATCTAGGAAAAAAACACGGAAAAAAGAAAAAGAGAGATGTATAGAGAAAACAGTAAGGATGCAAACTAGTTTTTTTTTTATACAAAAAGATATAATAGTATTTGTTTACTCTCCAAACAATCTTCTGACACGTTTAAGGACACTATCCTTCTCGGGATCTAAATAATAATAATAAAAAAAAAGAGGGGCAGAAAGTGTTATTGTTTGGGTGCAAGAAAGAACGGTTTGGTTAATATTACCATAAGGATGATCTTTGGAGGGTATCTCGAGAATAGCAGGGAAAGCTGCACTATGACCATCAACTAACTCTCTAATATCTTCAGCAATCTATTTGTAATAGAACGCGTCTTATTTCATTAGCACCCCGTATTTTTTTTTGCAGTTTGGTGATTATAACTTACATGTTGATTAATCAAGATGATGGCAATATCTTTACGCTTGGTGTATTCAATGAAAGTTTCCTCAATACTTGACAATGGAGTTTCTGTTTAAAAGGGCAGTCTTCATTAGTAACCATGCCTACTAGCTCTTTCCATCTTCAATACGTACTAACGTCAACTACCAAGAAGTTTCTCTTTTGTTGTTGGTTTACATGTCCAATACCAGCTAACAAGAGACCTGTTACAGAATCCTAAACAACGAATATTGAGACAGAAAGAAAAGACAAGCAAGATTAGTGAAAATATACCTCATCACCGATAACAGCAATATAGTTTCTGTCTTTCTGAAGTGCTGCAACTCCTGACATTTTATTTTTTTTCTTGGAGTTAAAAAGAAAAGAGTTACAAAGCGAAACCGGAAATGGATTTGTTTGGTCCCCTTTTTTTTCTTTTTTTTTTTTTTTTTTTTTGGAAACACTATGTCATCTCCAAAAGTTCACAAACCTTTCCCTAAAATTAGTGGTCACATTAATCAAGCAGATTGCTTTCTTTTCCCGTTTCTACGGATTGACAACACTTGCATATTTTATTCTCGTGTATTGGGGCTTTGGATACATCTCATCCTTTGACGGAGATCCAAACCCACGTTTAAAAAGCTGCTGTCTTTTTGATCATACTACATCACCTATAAGTGTTGGTCTATTATCTATAAAAGACTATTTATTCTGTAAAGGTAACACTTCTACATAAAAACTCTTTCCTCCAATTGCTTTAGAATTAAATAATTTTTGGAGCTACAGAAGATAGCTCCATAATTTGCTTAGGCATACTATCTTTTTTAACCAATAAAATTCCAAATCGAATACAGCTTCTACTCGCAAGAGTAAGGATGTCCGATCATTATTTTTATGCTTTGTTTACCTTGCACATTTTTTTTTTCTAACAAACAAAAATATGACAAAAGTTGAATTTACGTCCCCTTATACCATTGGCAATCGTATGAAGGTAAGTTATATGACCACACTTGCTCATGTTGGAACAGGAGCTGATTTTATTTATCTGTCTAGTCTTAAGGTCCTTAAAGGTCACGCTTTTATTGTCACTCCAGTGAACGTCAAGGCCGAGACGAAAACGGTTGCAATTGTCACATCATTTCCGCATCGTACCAATGTCAAGCGCTTCTTGTTACTGCTAATCCAGGTCGTTACTTTTACAACTTTTTAGACGAATTCAAAAAGGAAATTCGCAACTTACTCTCACGTAGACATGGCACAAAACGTGTGTTTGCCAGCAAAATGTATCAGAAATATATTGCTCACAAGGAACATATTCATGTGAATGCAACACGTTGGAATTCACTGAGTGGTTTTTTTAAAACAAATGGGTAGAGACGGCATTCTTCGGGTTGACAAAACAGAAAGCAGTTTATATATCGCATAAGTTGATAATAATCCCAAAGCCTTGGCTAGACAAGCTTTCCTTCAGAAAATGGATAGAACGGAGAAAGATGACGAGGAGCGGGATTTGCAAATGTTGAGGGAGCAATTCGAATAGACCCACAAACCAGCATAGGAACAAGGATTTGTCGAATAACAACCAACCGAGTTAATAAGAGATGACGAACAGCCTATCAAGCTCAATTTGACCATGAAGCATATTACTGTTACTGCTGAATCTCCCAAATTTTACGAGTGTCACGATGATGTTGGGTGGTATGAAGAAACAATCAAGGTTTATCAGCTTTAGCAATGAAATCTATCCCTTCGATTTCCGCTCCCTCCACCCCAAGTTCAGCGGCATGATGGTTATAAAACGTATAACATCCACCCAACGAAGAAGAGACAACTGGATTAAAGGAATCAAAGGAACTGGCCATTTAAATTTATTTCAATTCATAACAAGTACCCATTTTTTACCCTGACAAGATACTACTACCACTGCTAATAGAATCATATGTGGACTAACTATGCGATTGTCTTCCTAATGTACGATAAAATCTGTAATGGTCTGATAAAATACTTGCCAAATAAATAGTGTTTATATCTCATTTTGATAGATATCATGGAGGTGGTCCGTATAAAGCAAAGGGATTTCATTGTGATTGGTGGATGACTGTCAAAAAAAAAAAAAAAGTCCCAAAAATTATTTTAGGGTATGGGAACCACAATTCATGCAGAAAAAAGATATAAAAAGGCACTTTTTTTTTTTCATCCAAAGTTTTCTTTCTCTTCTTTCTCTTCAATCAAAAAACGGCAGCAATGTCTGAGGTATTCCGGTCTCGTATTCCCACCTGATCATTTGTCAGACGATGTACTGGGTATTTTGAGCGGCGTTGTCCATGAGCGTATGGTTGTCAACCGCATAGGCGAGACACTGTTTTTTCCCCAGGGCTTGCGCACGAAGAACTGGGTTTTTTAATATTAATGAAAATGAAAAAATAAATTTATTACTGAAACAGATTACTTTATCTTTTGCTTACATATGCTTTTTTTTTGCCCACGCGTGTAACGTCCCATTATGCGCTTTTTTAAAAAGCCGTGATCACGCTTAACATTATGTAAATGCATGAACCCGTGTGGGTGAAATTGTTTGACGCACTATGCTTTTCTGGGAAAAGAAAAATCAATGTGGTTTTGAGTGTGCCTTCATGTTTTTAGTTTGATTTTTAATTAATATGAGATAAAATATTCAAGATTGAGGGAGTAATATATGTCTAGTTATTTTAAGAATAGTCAGACATGTTGTTGACACAGATGTGTATCGGTGCGCGTCGAATACTTTTTTAGTGAGAAAAGTTTACTACTGGCCATTTTTTTTTTTGAACTTTGGCAGTCTTCTTGAAAGCGGGATCCAAAACATTATTGTTCTTTTACTTGTGTCCAACTTTTTCTGAATGGAAGATAAAGCTAAAGAAAAAAACGAAGAATGGTACGACGAGGTGTACTTTGATTCCGATCAAGACTCTGAAGAAGAAGATTCGCCTGGCATTGGCCTCATAGGCAAGCAAAAAAAGAAGCCGAGTTCGTAATCCATTATTTTTTTGATCTAAAAAAAAAAAAAAAAAAAAATTAGCTCACAGTTTTTCATAGTCATTAAACCCAAAAAAAAGATTATTAGCAACGATGAATTACTTTACGATCCAGACATGGACGAGAAAGATGATGAATGGGTCTCCAAACAGATTGACAGTAGGTGGTAGGAGTAAAATGTGAATATATTCTTTTGGCTAACAATGTCAATGTTTGTAGTTGATTCATCCAGAGCTTCTGAGGATATACCACTGGACGATAAAACGGATGCTATCTTAACCTGTCCGATGTGCTTCACAACTTTATGCTATAGCTGTCAAAGGTAATTACGCTTTTACCAATTTTGATTTTGACACTAAAAGTGAATTATTGTAGGCATGAAAAATATGCAAATCAATTTAGAGCTATGTTTGTCCGCAATTGCCACACTGTGCCCGGCGAGAAGTATAAAATGCAAGGTGAAAAAGACGAATCATATTTCAAAGTGACTTGTGAGACATGTGGAATTCAAGTAGCCATGTTGGATGATGATGAAATCTATCACTTTTTCAATGTGGTTGCTACTGGAAGATAATATGTAGATGAATACCTCAAGGTCCGTGCTTAGAATGCGTGTACATACAATTAAAAAAACAAAACCATAAAGTGTACAATTTTATTACGATTTGTGTTATAATTCTGAGACGTAGTTACCGGGAAATACACCAATATTATTTCTTAGTTTACCGGTCCACCAGTCATTAGCATCAGAAGTACGTTTTATCAATTCGATCTTATCATCTTTTCTAAACGACAAATCACCTTGAGCCTGAGCATCATAATCATAAAGTGCCAGCACATAGTTAATTCTTGATGGAGGTGGTGGTGGTGGCGCGGCTGTTCTAGATGAAACCATACCACTACCAGCCGAGTTTTGTGATCCATAACTGTGGTGTTGATTATGCTCATAGGGAGGAGCTTGACTATAAGCAGGTGCAGGCGTGGGTTCGTAATGTGGTGCAGGAGCCTTCCCAAAAGAAGGTGCAGAAGGCTCATCATGAGTATGTGGTGATTGACCATATGAAGGTGCTCGTCCATAACTTGGCGTTTGTCCATATGATTTCTTTTCATCTTGTTGAGAAGGATATAGTTGATGTTGCGGCTGCTGCTGTTTTTGAGGTTGATATGTCTGATAGGGCTGTTGTGCTATTGCCATAGGCGCAGGGCTCTCATTTTTTATTGCCGCTCGTTCTTGTAAAGTTAATTTAGAGCTGTTGGCACCACCCGATACTAGTAATTTATGACAAAATTAGTACCATGATATATATTTTTCTGTAGACAAAACCATTTACCACTCAACCAAGCTTTTCCGCCCGATTTAAGCAAATCCATATTTTCGATTTCAGCCTGGGCATTAAACTGGGCTATTCTCCACCTGAACCCTTCATCCACAGACATTGCATGTGTCACAAAATGGGCTTCGTTGGCTGTCAATAACTCATAACAACGAGCGTAAATCATACCAAATATTTTGCACTGAAGATGGAACATGTGCTCAAAAATTGGTTGAATAAATTCATATTGTAAACGGAAAAAGGCGGGTAATTGAGCCTTCAAAGCATTGTTCAGATAATCATAATCTTGGGTTGCAGTCTCCAACTGACTTTGGACTTTAAAAATGGATTTCTCTTCACTCAAAGTACGTTCTGCTTTCGCAGTTAACTTATTGAGACTGACTCGATGACGATCATAGTCTATCAGTTTATGGTTTCGTTTAACAATGGTTTTTGAAATCACTTTGACGATTTCTTGGAATTCCAGTGCGGGTCGAATAACGTAATGATCAATTGAATCCTACATAGCAGCTTATTTGTCAGGCCAGAATACATCAGTCGTTTTAAAACATGTTTACTTACCAATTGAGGTAAAATCTCATCACGGCAGTACATCATAGCCGCCTCGGCATCATTAGCAGCTTCTGTTGCTGCTGCTGGTGTGGATTGAACACGTCTTTGAACTCCGCCTTCTTCCATTTCTACACCGATTTGTGGGTTGTAAATGGTTGAGATATGACTAGCCATTTCGGACTGGTGTGTCAATAGTGCTAGATTAATACAATGCGTCAGTGTGCTATAAAAATACAAGGATGTTGCCTATTTTACTTACCAGAGACTCTATCGCGGAAAGTCTGCCCTTCCGCTTTTAAAAGTTCGGCAATCTTTGCACTCTCGTTAAATCGAGCTTCTAACTGGATAAATTCGGCGTCTCTTGTTACTAGAGGTGTGCATATATTTTAGATTACTGCTTGTTTAATAAGTCTGTTGTTCATTACCATCTTCCTTCTTGGACATAATCTGATGAGGCAAACGACTCACGACCTTTTGAAAACCCTATATGTCCGAATATAAGCTTACTAGTAGAGTTATGGACTAACATGTACTTGCCTTCCAGCTCATTTTATGTTAAAAAATTCTTGGCGTGGAACAAAGAGAAAAAGTCGTTAGAGCACATGCTTGCTTTTACATATAAAAGCAACGATTTAAACACCGAATGGCTCCTGAAAACACAATGCAAAGCTTTCATTCTCCTGATCGGAAATTATGGGTATCAACGTATTCTTGATTGACACAAATATTCTTTCTGTAGATTGTCCGTGCTCAAAGATCTCTTTCCATTGCCTCTGATCCAGCAAATATCGTGTTCTGTTATCTTCATGCCTTTTCCCTCAAAAATATTGTTACACGCACTACGTTCTGATATTATTAAATTTGGGATGGAGGTGAGTCCCAATTCATACTTTTTACATTACTTTATATAATGACAGCAGGTCATGAAGGGCATGGTCTCGCTTCGATCTCCTTAACCCATGTCTATTTCAATCCTTTGGACAAAATATCTTATGCATTTGCATACATCACTCTAGCTCCAATCGCTATTATGGTTTTTTATGCATCTGTCATTGTTTCGCGACGCGAGATGGCTGGTATTTTAATGCTTGCTGGTCAATTTTTAAATGAAGCCTTGAATTACGTTTTGAAAGAGAACATTGAACAGGACAGACCATATGGTAAGGTTCATCTCACTCTTTTAAAAAAAAATTGTTCATTAAAACCCTGTTAGGACATCTTGGGGATGGATATGGAATGCCTTCAAGTCATTCACAGTTTATTTGGTATTTTGCTGTTTATGGCTCTTTGTATCTTTACAAGTACATTCAATTAGACCATGCCATTTGGAAAATTTTAACTTGCTTTGCAATGTTCTCCCTTGCCATTCTGGTTTCTGTCTCTCGGTAATATATAGACAATATCACAAATGATTTATGCCATACTCACATGTCTAAACACAACATAGTATCTATTTGGGATATCATACTCTCAATCAAGTCCTAATTGGATCATTAGTTGGAGCTTTGTTTGGATTGATATGGTATAACGCTACAAATTTAATGCATTCGTATGGCATCATCGATTACATTCTGGACATGACAGTCTGCCAAAAGTTGTACATCAGAGATATGGGTATGGTTAATAATGTTGCTCGTTTTGAGTACCAACAGTGGAGTCAATTAAGGCAAAATCAGTTGAATAGCAAAATTAAATAAATTTTTTGATACACCTTATTACCTGTCTATCTTTACTGCATTTGGTCGATAGACTTAAAAGCAATTTCTGTAAAGTAGACAAAAGAAACCATAATTATGATACAATACAGCAGATTATGTATACACTAGATTGAACGAATGCATTTTTATATCATGAAGCATAACTAGTTGTTTATATATGTTTTACTAAAGTTTTATTCGAAAAAAAAAATTTGAAATATAATATACATTTTACAATAAATTACAGTCAAGACAAAAAAAAAGAAGAAATGGAACAATAGTACAAATAATAACTAAATCAAAAAGCTAGCTATCAGATACATCGATTTAGTTCTTGTGCTCGGCCTTCTTAGCGGTGGTGTGCTTCTTAGGAACAACTTTCTTGGTAGTCTTCTTCTTGGAGGCGGGCTTCTTAGTAGTCTTCTTGGGAACAGTCTTCTTGGTAGTAGTATGCTTCTTAGCAGCTTCCTTCTTGTTGTCTTTGGCTTCTTCAGCACGCTTGTTAAGATCTTTGTGCTCTTGAGCAGCGGGAGAAGGGGCAGGGACAGGCTTTTTCACAGTGGTAGTATGCTTAGGCTTGGGCTTGACAGAAGTGGTATGCTTAGGCTTAGGCTTGACAGAAGTGGTATGCTTAGGCTTGGGTTCTTCGTTTTTCTCACCACGCTTGTCCTTGTTAACAGCCTTAGGAGAAGGGGCAGGGACAGGCTTCTTTACAGTAGTAGTATGCTTGGGCTTAGGCTTGACAGAAGTGGTATGCTTAGGCTTGGGTTCTTCGTTTTTCTCACTACGCTTGTCTTTGTTAACAGCCTTAGGAGAAGGGGCAGGGACAGGCTTCTTTACAGTAGTGGTATGCTTGGGCTTGGGCTTGACAGAAGTGGTATGCTTGGGCTTGGGCTTGACGGAAGTGGTATGCTTAGGCTTAGGCTCCTCTTTCTTCTCACCACGCTTGTCCTTGTTGACAGCCTTAGGAGAAGGAGCAGGGACAGGCTTCTTTACAGTAGTAGTATGCTTGGGCTTGGGCTTGACAGAAGTGGTATGCTTAGGCTTGGGCTCCTCGTTCTTCTCGCCACGCTTGTCAACAGTACCGTACTATTAATTTCACAGTTTAGTATATACAGGTTTAATACTGTTACAAAGTTATTTATCAGGATTATTTACCTTAACGCAAATAGAGTCGCCAACCTTGATACTCTCACAGTCGAAAGAAGTGTTGGACTTCTTAGTCCATTGTTGGATATCACTTTGAGAATGATTGTACTTCAAGGCAATTGACTTACAAGTCTCACCGGTGGCGACTGATATTTAAAGATGATTGTTAGTTTTTCATGAACGAACGCGTCAATAGAATGTAAATTGTTACCTTGGTGGGTTTCTTGACAAGAGTTTGAAGCAGCAGGAAGAGCTTGAGAGGCACCAATCAAAGAAAGGACAGTGGTAGCAGCGATGAAAAGTCTCATATTGGTTTAGTAGTTATTGTTGTTGTAGATAATTTTTTTAAAAATAAACTGGAAATTACTCGCTTCTTATATACTATTAAAAAAGTGTGCCATTTTTGAGCTGTAAAGATAATCGGATGGGAAATCTGATATACTTACCTCGGTAGCAGGTATCTATTTTTGATTCTAGTGAGGAGACATTTTTTGATTCTCCTCTCCTGAATTAAAAGTCTTGGTAAAAACGTACATACACCCGGGATTAATAACTCGTAAAATTGCCAAGCAACATGGAATATTGAATCCCGATCTCCCATTCGTGCTTGATGAACAAATAACTACTTTTTGGCGTAATAGTTTGAAATTTTATCACATTTGAGAAAGTGAATTTTTTTACATGTGCTCTCTCTTTGTATTTGATAGAAAGGACAGTCAATAGATCAAAGTTAGCTACGGTGAATAATAGTTATAGATCAAATTGTTTTTTTGTAACATGTTTAAAAAAATCGTCTTGTTATTCCGAAAACAAACAGTTGTCGTAATTGCCGACTTTGTTTTCTCAAAACAATTTTGTTTTGGCCAAGCCTACCCTATATATTAAAATTTACAGAAATAGTAATTCTACTATGCCTACTGTCAAACGTGATCTCTTCGCATAATAAAGATATGTCATCGGTGTCTCATTTTGAGGTTCGTGTAACTCGATCAATTTTATGTTCTTCGGGTGTATCCACTACAACAAGGGACATATGCTTCGCCTTTCTCACAATTCGGATTACGTGTGCTTTTTCAGGTCTAGTTTTAATTATAATGGATTGGGGTACGACTATATTCCGTGAGTATGTATAATATGTGTTGTTGATAACGGTAAATATATCATGCAGTCGATACATTGGGCCCGGAAAAGTGTATGCACAGACGGTAGTTGAAAATAATGGAGTTGAGGCTAATGCAGATCTATGACCAGATTAAGGAATCCAAATAAACTGCCTACAAATATGGACATCTTGTTATAAAGGACACAGCCATCTTTATTATTAGCATAAATTCTTACTAAAATGGGAATATTAAAGGATCTACAACACCGCTGGATAAAATACTTTTTCGACAGAATCCATATTGTTACCGCTGTAAATAATAGCGCAATATTAAGAGCAAATAACAAATATAAATGACTAGAATAAACAAATACATGCGATCTTTCTTAAAGGTCAATAATCCAAAAACAACACAAAAAACAAAAAAACAAAAAAAACACCGCGGATCAATCGACTCTTGGCAGAAGGTTTATAATTGGACAGTCTGGACTAGATATTTACACGACAGACACTCAATTTCTTACCAAAAAACGATTCTCACCAATACTAAATTTAGCTACTTACAACATAAATCTGTTGTTCTTGATAATAAAGTTCCTGTATTCGACAAATAATCTTGTTCAAAGTGTATGATTGAAATTATTTGTTTAACTATGATTATTACGTCCAATAACAAAAAAATAAAATAAGATGCAGCGTGTAAAGTCCGCAAAGGGCAATCATGCAAACTCGAAACACTTTGAAGTTATCCTGGCTCTCACTTATAATAGCCTGAAATAATTATACTGGTAGTGTGTGGGAAAGAAAATTACTTTCTTGAAAAATAAAATAAGCACGTAATAATACTACTTTATGTTTAAAAAACCACATCCTTGGTCAAGACATTCGGTAAATCGACTTTGGGAAAACTCCTGTTGACAGTAAAAAGCTTCTTTTGCAGAACATTAAAGATTGCAGTTTGATTTACTCGATTGCCTTTTTTTTTTAAAAAAAAAAAAACTAACGATTCAAACAGTGGTGTAATCAGTATGTAAACAATGATATTGGGTCCCATCATTTGTTGAATGGCCTTTTAGCCGTGATATAAAAATTTACATAAATGTGCTGATCACTAAAATTATTACTAGACTTCTGATTTTATTCTTTCTATTGGCTCCATTAGTTCGTACACAGTCGAAGATCTCAACTATCTAGCAATACTTTTAATAATCATTCGCAACAAACACGTATCTAAGAGGATTTCGTCAAAATTTGGGCTATATTGTACTATTGTTGACTACCCTGCGAGAAAAAAAGTCCTAGTTTATTATCGACAAATGTAGATGGTATAAACTGCGCTAACAGTCATTAGATGCTATCGTTTACTGAAAATGTTTTTATTATTTACATTCGATCACTTCTTGGATGATAAACGCATCGTTTTCCATTTTTATATTCGTATTTGTTTATAACTATGATGTATATAACTTTGCATTTGCATAAAATGAGTGGTAGCTTTATATAAAAAGCACACCAGTACCGTGGCGACATAAAACGCTGCTTTTATGACAATAATAAATATAAAGTTGTCTTTATCATTTGGTGGGTTACCAGTGAAGTATTAAGTGCAATGTCATTTACTATCACCCAACTTTGATCATGCCAAAAAATAAATTTATCAAACCCGAATTAATCAAGGTCCGGCATTTTGATTGTGTGTGAGGATAGCTTTCCCCGACTGTCACGAAAATATTTTGACATTATTCTTTTTTTCCTAAAACTATGGAAGACAATACTCAAGAAGGAAGAGAGCAATTGATGCAAGTGTTTTATATTAATCTATTAACAGAAACGAAGACTGATATTCTAACTTATTTTATAGTGAGGAGTATCTCAACCAAACTCACATTGCTGATGACGATGAAGAGTTGATCGAACGTGTACCAGAAGATGGCGCACAACTCGAAGAAGAAATCGATGTCATGCCTACTGAATTATCTACACCCATCAGTTTGATGCAAAAGAAGAAAACTGATCAAGACAACGAAAAAAAGAAGAAGAAGAGAAAGAAGAAGTCAAAGACTGCCAATTTACCTGAGGCAGGTACTGAATTACCTGACGATTATGTTGAAAAGCATGCTGAAGATGTCGTTGAAAATCCCTTTGATCCGTAAAGTTGTCCGATACTTGAATTATACATTGTCCTTACCACATTCTCTTTTTTTGGTTGATTTTTAGTGAACGTCCTCTTTCTCAACGTATTGAATACGCCATCATGAAATACCGCAAAAACCACAAATTCTCTGGCGAAAAGAAAGCCATCTTTGACAACTATCTTAAATTTGGAGGAATCAATACCGGCCCCAACATGTTCTTGGGCCGTGCCACCAGTGCTGATAGACCCGATGATCCAGATGCCGAATTTGATTTTGATGCTGCAAAGACCGCTATTGATTCCGTCCCTGATGAATTAGAGGAAGGCGTTGAAGTCAACTTCACTGAAGTGGCACAAGTGTATTTCAGTAATACCTTTATTCGTGAGAGTCGATTCATTTCATTACAGGATTTCGTGGATGCACCTGTTCTTATCGATGCGTTCTTGAGATACCTTCAAATCAGAAATGTGGCTCCTGAATATGCAGAAGATATTGCAAATGCCCGTGCAATTGTTGGTGAGGCAAAGATTCAATTACCTAAATGTAAGCGTATCAGTGGCTTCATGCCCGGTAACTATAACAAGGCATGTGCTTCTTTATTCGGTGCTTTGGAGTCAGACATGGACACTTCTTGGATGACTGAAGCAACCATGAAGATTCAAAAGCAATTTCTTTCATTTGTTGTCGAAACGATTGGTACAAACTCGGATGATTCAAAAAAGATTGTCAAGGCTCATATCAAGGATCCCGATAATGTACGTTTGGTCGAGACCAAGGAGTGGGTGTTTGCTAAAATTGCTGAAATCGCTCCCTATTCTGAGACGGCCGCACAAGACGATCTTATTAAAGTCACCTTTGAAAATAAGGAAAACTCTGAAGAGAAGTTCGATATCTTTTTAGAAAAGAAAATAGTCGATTTTATGATGATTGGAATGGTGACCCGAGCAACATTCTGTAAACTGAGTAACGGCGATTGGTACCTTGAAGGTGCTACTCGTGTCATGCCTAGTTTTTACATGGAAGATGATTGCATGGTAGAGGAAGACTTGGACTTTTAATAAAATGGTTAAAAATGTGAATCATGGAAAGGATTTTTTAAAGGACGATGTATGTCTGGAATTATATTACACTTATCTGTTAAATAACAATACGGAAACTCATATTTAGACTTTCACGTATTTTGGATGGAGTATAGATTTGGTTTTGAAAATGTATTTAGATCATCAAGATGTATCTAACTCTGAAGCTGAACCAGATAAAAGTACAAATAACGTACATGTACAAATTCTAGGTGATTTAGATCATATATTGGTTACGGTATTAAGAGTAACTGTCTGTGAAGATTTCGAAATTGATTGAATAGTGATTTTCAGACAGAATTAATATTAGATTTATTGGATTGTCTATGACTAATCTTATGCTATATCCGAGTACTAGCTTCATTATAGTCGTGTATATGATTACATCTTCAAAAACAAAGCATTAAGCACCGCCATCCGGCTTTTGCAGCTTGTAGATTGTGGTATCAGGTACAGCGTTTTCATCAATCGCATTTGGACGCTGAAACTGTACCCCTTGTTGTATCAGCATTGGGCTTGTATTATGCACTTCTGAATTTCCGTCCACGCAGGTAGTTATATCATCAGCCAAATTGGGGGAATAGCTTTGTTTGTAACTAATAGGGCTAGGCAGTTCAACGTACTTCTTTTCAATTTCGTCCCAATTCACTTCCATGGTGGGTTCGACTATCCGCTGATGCCTTTCATGCTCTTCGAGTTCTTGTCGTTTTTTTTCGTTTTCGGCTCTCTTCTTTCTCATAAACCAAAAGACGCTTGCGCCCACTACAAGTAAAGCCTGTGATACAAAAATGTTTAGCTAATTACGGTACTCATAAACCTTAATAAATTAGGTATTTACCCCACCAATGGAACCTATAATTGTACCAGCAATAGCTCCAGCGCCTGGTTTCTTGTGAGGTGATGCTAAGGATACACTTGCATTGTTAATGTCAATGTAGTTTTCTACTAGGGTGATATTTGATGGGGTTGTTGTGTTTAATATCAATATAGTGCTAGTAATTGAGGTTCTACTGGTTAGACCAAAAACAATAAATACTGTATTATTGTTGACAGGAATGGCTAATACGATTTACTTAGTAAATACTGATAAGAACAATTTTTTTTATGTGGTTAAGGTATTGTCAATTTACCTGAATGTCCTGTTCTTGCTAAGAACGTATTTGGTTTAGATATAATATTTTGTGGCTGCCATATAAAAGTGTCAAGATTAAAAGTAAATGCATAATCTAAGCAAGCTATTGAAAACATGTTAAAAAAAGTACCGCCTCAACCATCCAGTTAGTTGTTTCTAGTTACGCTGATAATTGTTTTTCGACTTATCTCCTCCATATAGTAAGACATCTCTTTGTGCAGGACCCACTATTTTGATTTTTAACACAGGGTAAAAATGAGCACAAAACAGGCTCAATAAAATTCTATTCGTCTTACCTAAAGTAGTGGTATGCTCTGTCCGTGGTGATGGAGCTTTACCCCCTAACGATGGTTGTGTGGTCCAGTTACTATTTTTCATATCGAATACAGTTAGGCTATCAAATAGAATATCAGTGGTATCATTAATTGATTTTCCAACTGATTGGCCACCAAAGAAGAAAATACGATTGCTCTTAGTGTCAAAGATCGAAGTTTGATACGATATAAACATGGATGGTATATTATTTTGAGGTTGATAAATTGACCAAGGCTATCGAATGGAATTACATTAGAAAATCTGTTAGCAACAACCTGAAATTATAAACTCACGTTTGTGGGCTTATTTAAATCCAGAAAGGTGAGGTTAGTGTAGCCGATAAACCTCATACTGTATGTTTCGTCCTCGAATAAACTCATATTTTGGCCATTGTGGGTCCAGCTACTGTTGTAGAAGCTACAAAAAAGCAAAAAATAAAAATAAAAAAAACAAGAAAAATCATGACTACATACAAACCTCACCTTTCGAGTCCTCCATAAACTCCAACTCCGTAATTTGGAACATAGACTGTCGATGCACATGATCTGTCAAACAGCAGTTACTATCTTACAGTTTTCCAGGATTCGATTTTATCTTACATTTGTCTTCTTCCAAAATTCAACTCGGTATATTCGGGGTAAGTAGTCCAAGAATTGCTTTCGGAATGGTAAACAACCGTCGAAGGAGTTGAAGGGTCATAAGCGGAAATTGCCCCACCCGATAAAAGCATGCTTTTTCCGTCTGGAAGAACCATTCTTTGGGAGTGTTGTATTATTTGGATGTTGTGGCCATCCACATTTGACGATAGATGCTGCCACTTGTCACTTAATTCGTCCGCTGTGCTTCCACTGTAGGCTACAATATCCAGTACATTGATTGAATTATCTGAAGATCCTTCTATTTCTGTTATACCGCCGAGGCAGTATATTTTATTAGACAGCAAACCACAAGCTATCAATCTGTAAGTATTTTGTAGAAAAAAAAAAGGGTGTTTTTGGAATAAATCCTACCCGAGTTATATCTTGGGATTTCTTGTCCTAATGTGTAACTTGCAACCGCTAGAAACGCGATAGCTTGAAAAATATTTCTCATTTGTAATTTGTATATTTAAGAACATTCGTTCCAAATAAAAAAGGGGAGGGGGTATTTATATTACACAGAGTATGCCGATTGATGTGTATACTTTGTTTTTTCTTGAGTTTTTTTTATTGTAATTATTCCCATGTAAAATTGGATGTATTATTTACGCTTTTACATTTACTAGCTCAATATTCAAGTGCAATGAATACACTTTCTTTAGCGATTGATCAAATACAGTTCATCTCATGTCTACTTTAAATCATGAAATAAACACGTCCGAGTGAGCAAATAAAAAGATGCAATGCGAGCTTAGCCACGCTTCTTGATATCGGGCGGATTTGTTTTAGGAAAACGCCTCACGATACCGGCAAAACTTGTCATTCAAACAATTTGTATGCATTTTATTACTAATAATATTTTACCTGAATGCCCTAAGTATCAATGAACGATTGATTCTCATCTACATTTTTTTTTTTTCGATTGAAGGATAAGCTTCACCCACTGATTTAAACTTGAAGATGGTTTTATTGATGTTAACATGCTTGCATGAATATTGGTACGACCGGTAAAATCAACAAACAAATAAAGTCTCCAATAGGAAACTTGCTTATGCTATTGTGCCAAGGTATACACGACTATTCTATTAAAATGATCAGCGTAGATGGTGTCTGTGAAACCTCTGAATTTTTGGCGCTTTTTAACGTTAAGTTGATTTACGTGTAGTACTATCTAGAATACAATATTCAGGAACCTTACCAGAGTTAGTGTATTCCCAAGGACGTTAGCTACAACTTTTTTGTATGTGTTATCAATAGCAAGACAAATTTAAAAGCTTCTGAAAGAGCATGTAAATAACCTCAAATACTAACTGTAGTGCCAATGTAAAAATTTTTGTTTATATGGAGACGGAGTCTCTGTGATTTATTAGTGATATTAAAGGGAAATAGTCACAATTGTGTTTTTGGGTTTTCTATTTTAGAGTTTTTTTTTTTTTTTTTTTTTTTTTTTTTGTTATAGTTAAAGTATGTACAAGTTTGAATTTAGAAAAATAAATAAATCAAAGCAGTTTTAGCGGAAGCCTGAGCGACGGAAGGTCTTACCAATGGAGGGAGTATAAGCTGTCCTCAGAGAAAATGGGAGGGGGAGAATGAGGGGTGCCAGATTGAAGAAGTGCTTCATGTTGAGATTTTAAAATCTTTTTGGACGCGAGGGAGATGCCAATGTAAAAAAGAGTTTACTCTATTTATATAAGCATTGAAATACAGAATCAGAATTGTGAATGTTGAGTATAGTGAATGGTATAAAACAAACATTGGCACCCCGTGTTATAGGCTACTTTTTTTTATTTCTGCATGATGACACAATACAAAGCTTATTTCTTTTTAATACTGTTGCTTAAAGGATCATAAGAAAAGTGAGTCCAATTAATTACAATGACTTATAAATCCAAATGATTAGTTTGAGTTTGTATTGGGTAAATTATAATACAAACTCATTGACAATATCTCAATACTGCGTTACTGATATATTCTTTTTTTTTCTAATTTCATCCATCAGTTCAATTTATAAAATACAAAAATCGAGTGATCTGTTGAGATCGTCTGTCTAAACATATTTTAAACACAGCGATAATACGTAACGTTTTTTATATTGTTTTTTAAAAAAAAAGGTAGAAAATGAAGATTTATAAATAGACAAAAAAAAAAGGGGGAGGAGGTGCCACATTTCTTTTTGTTACCACGTATTCAACATGGAGAAAAAAACTCGTAGAATGAATCGTTCAAATAGAAAAGTATCAGGTTTTAATTAATATATTCATGGTAGGACGTATTTTAAATATTAAGGTTATAAGTTTATATGCTACAGAATCTCAAAGAAATAATTTTTGATGTACCTCCTTTCTATCCCTTCGTTGCTATTGTTTTTTTAATTATGTTTAAATTAAGGTTTGTGACCAAAATTAGTAGTAATTCAACGAGCATCTATATCTCATCAGACGTATATCAATTTTAACGCAAAGCATGCTCTTCATTTCACACACACACACACACACACAAAGGAAATTTTTAAATATTAAAATATATTAGCTTGATGCATGCTCCCCCATTACCTTTCTTTCCCAATACAGCTTGTCAAACCCAAAAAAAAGGGTTGTTACAGTTAAGTTGACAAATGTATGCAGGACGCTAAATACTATATGGGGGGAACGATCTATTTAAATCGAGTTTCGCTGGAATCGGAATGCTTCCATAGATCTGTACTTGTTTGGGACCCAGGCAATCATTGAAAATAGGAGTCATCGATTGTAAATTTACATTTTATGAACTTGCAGAGCGGAAATGTTATGGAATAAAAAAGAAGAATTACCGGGTTGCATTACGAGTTATGATCTAGAGGAAAATGTTTTCCGTATTCAGGAAAATCTGCATTGTTCTAAAAAAAAGTGAGTTACAAATACTTCTAGAACACTTTGTATATAAAGTATTATTGCAGTTGACATGATAATTCACTAAACCTGCTTTATTTCAAATGAGAAAATAAGCTTATGTTCTGTGTATGAATGGGAAAGGGATGGGGGGGGGAGAAGATCACTATATTTATGCAAGAAAAAAAAAGAAAAAAAAAGAAAAAAACGCTATTGTTTTTTTATAGATTTAGGGGTACATAGATTACCGTTTTTAGAGCAACCGTGTTTGTCTGTGTGATTTGTAAATTGCACATATTTACTCGGGAGAGATTTACTTAGTTCGAATCCTAAACCAGTTTTGTGTGCTTTCTTGCATAAACGCGGGACGAGACTTATAGGATATAATTTGTCCAAATTTGTACGCCAAATCTGGGTTTCATACAACGGCTGTATTTTGCCTTGGGATCTTAATTTGAGAAGTATTTTATGTTTTTTTAAAGCTATACTGGGCTTTGGTAATACGTTGAAATTTGCAAAGTATGTTTCCATCGGACATGTTGGTGGTATAATTTGAGGTTAACATCATTTTCTGATCGCCATATGATGGTGCACTTACCGGATATTGCAGATCACATTTATTTAAATTTGTATGAGTCCTACGCGCTGGCATTAATATTTTTCTGTTAACTGTCAGGTATATTTATATGAGTACTAAGAAATACAATTGTAGCTCTATAGATAATATAGTGATACCAAGAGAAATTCTACTCATTCATTGAACATATTGTCTCTTACGCCACTATAATATTATGTACATGTTTCTTACAAAGCAAGTGGAACTTCTAAGAGCCATATTAGTTAAGCTTTTTTATTATTACTGAAACCCAGTTTGACTTTAGTGCTTGTGGAAACCCTCTTCCACGCATGTAATTTGAACCACAGGCTTCACGAAAAAAAAAAAGTTCTTTACGATGCTATCTGCTAATAAATGAGACACATTCTACGAGAACATGCTATGTTTCTTGATGGTTAGAATGTGTGTAATACTTACCTACCAAATTATTACGTTTGCAAACTTTTTTAAGTTAGCGAAATCTCGATCGTGCAAGTAGTACCAAGCAAATACTAAACTAAAAATACAGACAATCCATCAATGATTTAGCTAAAATCGTATGGTTAGCGCACATGAAATTTATTTTCCTTCAAAATAAAAAAGGAAGTAGCTTATGGAATTCTAGAGTTTTAATTGTTAGCTTTTGTAATAAACAAGCATGTTCAACTTAAAAATAAGCATCTTAGATACAAGCATTATTGGCAATAAAATAAACGCTGGCACTCAAAATATTTTTTCAACTCTAAATCCAAGTTTGTGATTAGGCACGATAGTACTTGTCTTGCTACCGTGCTTTCCGAAAGACCTAGGTGAAGTGCTTTTTTTTTATTTGCATAATGGTGGGTTGGAATAGTGCTCTTATGGATGCCCTGAGCAAACTAAGGTCATGTTACACCATCATCCTATATATGCTAAAAATAATCAAAACAGTTGCTTTTGCAGGCTCTAAAATGATGAATCTAATTTTAGATGGTGGGATGTGTTTAATGACTCAACCAATTGGATGTGTGATTCCCTTACACACAGTGAATTAATAAAGAGGTTTGCGTGTCATGTTACACTCTCACATCATGGGCGCAAAAAGATTAGGAAATGGTCGATCTTTTTGTTCCCTCAATCAAATAAAGCCAAACTATCCGAGGCCGGAAATTACACAGGTAATTTAAAATATAATAAATACACAATCAACGTCATGTGGGCGCATCATCACCATCCCATTGCTTTTAAAGAGGGGAGATACAGCTCAATGCAAATGAATTTCAATATGTAATAGACTAGTGTCGATAAGTTATCAGTGCAAGTACAACAAAAGGGTTTGAAATAGAACAAGAAAACACATGAGTTGAGCAGGTTGTCTCCTTTATGTATATATACAACAGGCAAGCAAAAAGAAATAAATAATCCTTGGCACTTATTCCAGCAACCTGGTGTCATTGTTCCACCCTTCTTATTTACGTCATATTTAATATACACACACACACGAGCAAGAAGACTAATATTCTGTAGAACACGCTACAGACACAGAAAAGGCCATCACGTGTGGTAGTTATAGATAAACCTACTACTACTGAACAATAATGTCATCTTATTGAAGTCGTTTCGTGACTATTTGTTGCGATTTTTCTTTTTTTTATTGGTTTCCCCGGGGCTAATTCCCCTCTCTTTCTTTTTTTCTTTTTCTGCAATATTAAAAAAGTTTATTTTTTTTAGTGCCGTTTTCATTTTTTTTTTTTTTTTTTTTTTGTAATCCCACACTCAATGAATGATACTTCAAGTGCGGATCGACACTCTTCAGACGATGATCTGTATGCAGCCCTCATGCTCTCCAATTTGCTGGACAATGAACAAGATGTAAAAGACCAACAAACTCAAATGGAACGACAACGAATCTCTTTACAAGCCGAACTCGACGAAGCCAACGACAGTAACGATGTGATATGGTACCATTTATTTTTCTTTCATTATTGGCTTTTTATGAAAAAAAAAAAAGAAGCACTAACCCTCTTTCTTTATAGGGTGCCTGCAGACAAACATCCTCAAATTGCACCTACCGAATTTGCAAACTTTTTAAAAACGCATGGCGCTGCCTCTTCCGCCAACCACAACAACAACGGCAACAATATTCGTCGACGTAAGTCCATTTTATCCCAAAGTATGTATGTCAAGTCAACCGACGACGGAGAGGATTTGAATAGAACGCTTTCCGAAAAGAAGCGCAATTTCCTTAAAAAAGTCATGACCGATAGTGATAAAAGAAGAGGTATATATATATAAAAAAAGTAACCCCAAAAAAACACGAGTTTTTTTTTTAATAACGTGTTCCACCTAACTCTGTAGACACGCACATATTTGATCGTAATTCCACGGCAAATGATGATTCAAGCACAATTTTGGCCTCTACAGCCAATTCGGATAAATCGTTACTTCGTAGATCTGCATTTTCTGCACGAGGTAGAAGCCGAAAAACAAATTCACCGTCCCTACAGAGAAGATCACTTTCGCAAAAGAGTCCGGGTGAAAAGAAACAAGCTTGGGATAAATCGGCTGGTATTGATCTTTACGATCAACCAGTCAATATGAGTGAATGGATCGATTTGGGAAAAGTGAGTTTGGAGTCTGATAATTCCCAGAGAGGCATTCTTACACGTGTGCATGATGCGGAGTCACAACTCTTGACCAACACCAACACAACCACCACCACCACCACCAATATTACATCTACTACTACTACATCTACTATTACATCTACACCTACATCTACCACCACTACCACTACTACTACTACTAAAAATAATTCGAATAATAATCCCACCAAACCATCAACATCACCACCAGTACAGAAAGCCGCCGTAAAAAATATACCAAAACCCGTGGTGAGTGTGAAAGAACCCACTAAGGCAACACCCAAACGACCAGCCATCTCTCGATCGGCGTCTGAAAATAGCGCCGTGGCAACCACTGCTGCAGCCACTGCAGTGACACGGATCAAACCCGAAAGGCGATCTTCCTGGTTGGGAGGGTTATTTCAGCAGGATAAAAAAAAGAAGGCGGGTTTAGCGGGCAATACCTCTCCATTATCCGGATTAGCTACTTTATTTTCGAAATCTTTATCAATTAAGGCAGCAGCAGCCGTGCCGGTGACACGGTCTCGTTCACCGTCACCACCTACGACGCCACCCCCACCTGCTACGCCCAACATTCAAGATAAAAAACCCAGCCGGCTGGAACAACGTACTCGATTCAACGCAAACCGATTACCGCTTCATGTAGAGCGTGCCATTTATAGATTATCGCACATGAAATTAGCGGATCCGAGACGACCTTTACGACAACAAGTGCTGATATCCAATCTAATGTTTTGGTACCTGTCTATACAGCAAGGGGATTTTCAACGACAAGAAGAGGAATGTCGTCTTGTAGATTTACCTTTACCGTTGGTTGTGAATAATACAGAACAACAAGAGACAATAAAGAAATCCAGTAAGATGATGACACGGTTCATTCATTCTGCCAAGAAACGTAAGAACGAGGTCAGTCAGTTTGTTCAACTCAATGAACCACACGTACCAAAAAAACAGACCAATGTCCAATTTAGCTTGGCTCCCATACCAAGTCATCATCATCCCGTATTGAATTTTGAAGAAGAGGATGATGTACCTTTAAGCAGGTACAAGAGCGGTTAAATAAAAGCGGGGCTTGGAATCCCAATATTTTTATTATTAGAATACTTTTTTTTTTTTCGTATTACACTCTCTTTTTTCTCTTTTTCTCTTCTTTTTTTTTTCTTTTCATCAACCATGGGTAATAATGTCTCTTCTTCAAAAAAGAGCGCAAAGAAGCGAGCAACAAAGAGCAAGAGTATGCCTCTACCTCCTCGTATTGAAGTAGATCATGAACATGCTAATAATACAGCGCATTCCGTGAATTCTATCTTGCTGACTTCCAAGAGTAACAAGAGCAATAATAACAATAACCAAAATACACTGGCACAACTGAATCCGGATTATCCCTTGTCCAGTAATAAAGAAAGCGTGGACCCCTTCCAAGGCAAAGTGGAAAACCCTCAACAACATAAATTACTCGCTACTTCTGATTTCTGGCCTCCTCAACAAGACGGAGGACAAGAGGATCATCAATTGACAGTAGGGTCTATGAACCAACTGACAGTGGGTTCGATGAACCAACTGACGGTCAACTCCATCTCGAGTGATTATTCTTCCACTACCAACATTGATGAATACATTAGCCGGTTATTGGAAGCAGGGTACGCTAGTAAAGTGTCTAAACAACTCTGCTTAAAGCATTCGGAAGTGACAGCCATTTGTAGAGCAGCCATGGATATATTTTTAAGTCAACCTGTATTGTAATATTCAAAGGGGACTACACCCATATCACCACCAACTTACCATACTTACTATCTATTTTTTTTTATTGTTTAGTCCTTATTAGAGTTATCACCACCTGTCAAGGTCGTGGGTGATACGCATGGACAATATACCGACCTGATCCGACTATTTGAAATGGGAGGATTTCCACCCAGTTCCAATTATCTGTTCTTGGGTGATTATGTCGACCGAGGTAAACAAAGTTTGGAGAACATGCTCTTGTTATTTTGTTACAAGATCAAATACCCCGAGAATTTCTTTCTCTTAAGAGGCAATCATGAATGTGCCAATGTAACCAAAGGTAAATTCTTTTTTACTATTGTTAGTAGGATACCACGTTTTTCTTATAAATTAAATTTTATTTTTTTATTTTATAGTGTATGGGTTCTATGATGAATGCAAGCGTCGTCTCAGTCCCAAAATGTGGCGTACATTTGTGGATGTCTTTAATACCCTACCCATTGCCGGTTTAGTGGCTGGTAAGATATTTTGTGTGCATGGTGGATTATCACCTTCTTTACATGATATGGATGAAATTCGTCAGATCCAAAGACCTACGGATGTACCTGATTATGGTCTACTGAATGATTTGCTCTGGTCCGACCCTGCGGATGTGGAAGATTGGGAGGATAATGAACGTGGTGTCTCCTACGTCTTTGGTAAGAAAGTGATTAATGAATTCTTGACGAAATTCGACCTGGAACTCGTTTGTCGAGCTCACATGGTGGTCGAAGACGGGTATGAATTCTTTGCCGATCGTTCCCTCGTTACCGTCTTTTCCGCACCGAATTATTGTGGCGAGTTTGATAATTTTGGGGCCATCATGAACGTCAATGAAGAATTATTATGTAGTTTTGAATTATTAACTCCCGCTGATCATCCGCTTGCCAAAGAACGATTAAAGCAAACAAAGAAGAAATAAAATAAAAAAGAAGTAAAAAAAAAATATGATTACGTCACAGTTTTTTTATTTATTTATTTTGTGTGTGTTGTGTGCGTGTGTTTGTTGCTATGCTGTGTCTGTGTATTGAAACTCCGTTGTGTGATGTGTGTGTAGTAGTGTGTGGGGAGGGAGGGGCAAGGGTTGGAGCCAAACCAAAAAAAAAAAAAAAAAAAATTGACTGCACTTGAAAAAAAATTCATTAAAGCTTTTATTTTTTTTGGGCCCTCCCACCCCCGCCCTTCCCTCTCTTTTTCCTAATAAAAAAAACCCCCCCACTCCTAATAATTAAAAAAGTCATGTTGCGCGTCATTAACAAGACCAGCGTAGCAGCAGCACGTAGAACTCAACAAGCCATTCTTCAAACTGGAGGTAACCCTTATCCTTTTACATTGATAGAAAATACACCCCAGCTTATTTTTCCGTTTGTTTATTTTTTTTTATAATTTTTTTTTTTTTTTATGATTATTAGCTCGTGCATTCACCGCATCCACCAATGTCAAGGAAGAAGTCGAAGTTTTTATTGACGGTAAATCTGTCTTTGTCGAACAAGGTTCTGCCTTGATTCAAGCCTGTGAAAAGGCTGGTGCTGATGTAATTCTTTAACATTTATACCTATTTGGAATGACGACCCTAAACTAAATTTTTTTATTTTTTGCTTGTAGATTCCCCGTTTCTGTTATCATGGTACGATAGAATCAACTACACCATTTTTTTTTTTAAAAAAAAACAATAAGATAGAGAGAGAGAAAACACCTTAAGAGAGAGACACAGCATTGACACATACATTTTTTTTTCTTTTTTAAAAATAGAGCGTCTTGCCGTTGCTGGTAACTGTCGTATGTGTCTTGTTGAAGTTGAACGTGCACCCAAGCCTGTTGCATCTTGTGCATATCCCGTCATGCCCGGTATGAAGGTCAAGACCAACAGTCCTTTAGTACATAAGGCACGTGAAGGAGTGATGGAATTTTTGCTTTACAACCATCCTTTAGATTGTCCTATTTGTGACCAAGGTGGTGAATGTGATTTACAAGATCAAAGTATGCGTTACGGTTCTGACCGTGGTAGATTTTCCGAGCCCATGGGTAAACGTGCTGTTGAAGAAAAGAACTTTGGTCCTCTTATCAATACCGAAATGACTCGTTGTATTCAATGTACTCGTTGTGTACGTTTTGCTAACGAAATCGCTGGTGCTACCGAATTAGGTACCAGTGGTCGTGGTAATGACATGCAAATCTCGACTTATATTGAAAAGACCATCGATTCCGAAATGTCAGGTAACGTCATTGACTTGTGTCCTGTGGGTGCTCTCACCTCCAAGCCTTACAATATGAAGTCAAGACCTTGGGAATTGAAAAAGTTTGAAACTGTCGATGTGTCTGATGCCATTGGCTCCAATATTCGTTTGGATACCCGTGGTGTTGAAGTCATGCGTATCTTGCCCCGTTTAAACGAAGAAATCAATGAAGAATGGATCTCAGATAAGACTCGTTTCTTTTATGATGGTCTCAAGGTCCAACGTTTAACCACTCCTCTTATCCGTGATGGTGATCGTTTCGTTCCTTCCTCTTGGGAAGATGCTCTTAAGCGTGTCGGTCAAGAAATGGCCAATACCTCTGGTAATGCTGCCAAGGCTGTTGCTGGTCATCTTGCTGATGCTGAATCCATGGTTGCCTTGAAGGATTTGATGAACCGTATGGGTTCCGATAATTTGGCTTTGGATGCTCCTAACGGTTCCAAGCCTCTTGCCATTAATGCTGATTTCCGTGCCAACTATAGTTTGAACTCTACTATTGCCGGTGCTGAGGAAGCTGATGTTGTCTTGATTGTGGGTTCCAACCCTCGTCATGAAGCTCCCATCTTGAACACACGTCTTCGTAAGGCTTGGATTCATAACGGTCAAGACCTTGGTTTGATTGGTCAACCCGATGATTTGAACTACGAGTATGCTCATATTGGTGAACAATCCAATGATATCGAAAAGATCTTGGATGGATCTCATCCTTTTGCTAAACGTCTTGCCGAAGCCAAGAAGCCCATGATCATTGTGGGATCTAGTGTGATTGAGAATGCCAAGGATAGTGAATACTTGATGGCCAAGGTCGCCGAATTATCTCAAAAGTTCAACAAGACCTTGTTCCAAGAAGGATGGAATGGTGTTAATGTGTTGCAACGTGCCGCTGGTCGTACTGCTGCCTATGAGGTTGGTTTTGTCCCTACCAGTCAAGCTGCATCTGATGCCGATGTCAAGTTCCTCTATCTTTTGAATGCTGATGAAGTGACTGCTCAAGATATTCCCAAGGATGCCTTTGTTGTCTATCAAGGACATCATGGTGATGTGGGAGCACAATATGCCGATGTTATTTTACCCGGTAGTGCATTTACTGAAAAGAATGCTACATTTGTGAATACAGAAGGTCGTACTCAAATTACACGTGCTGGTGTCAACCCTCCTGCTGCTGCTCGTGAGGATTGGAAGATCATTCGTGCTTTATCTGAAGTGGCTGGTCATACCCTTCCTTATGATGATCTCTCTTCTGTTCGTAGTCGTCTTTCGGATATCAGTCCTGCCTTGACACGTTATGATGTGATTGAACAACCTTCTATTCACCAATTGGGTCTTCGTGCTCAACCTACACTTGCTGGTCATACCGAAGAGGTTTTGACTTCCGTCATCAAGAACTTTTACCGCACAGATCCTATCTCACGTGCTTCCAGTACCATGGCCAAGTGTACCAAGGCTTGGGTTGCTGGTAAAGATGTCGAGACAGAGTTAAAGAGTGTTTCCGCTTAGATTTAATTTTTTTTTTTTTTTTAAACGTTCACTTACCTATTATTAAAAAAAAAAAAAAAAAAAAAGAAAAAAATTTACAAAAAAAAAAAAAAAAGCTTCTTTTTTTTTTTTTTATGCAGGGAAAAATGAGTTAATAGCTTCTTTGACATTACCATGGTTACGGTTGTATATAGAAACCTTCTCCTCCTCCCCCTCTTTTTTTTTTCATGTTTGGGAGAGTGATGGTTAAAACGTAAATTTTTATGTTTTCTATAGAGTTCTATCAATTATTAATTTAAAAATGGGGGGGAGACCAAGGGGGTTATAATGTAAAAATCGAACGATTTGGGGGGTGGTGGGACACACACACACATCTTATTTTTTTCTTTTGTTTCCCCTTTTTTACTTTATATAACTAAATTCAATTATCCTTCTCCCCAAATCAAGTATTATTATACGACATTCCCCTTTTTTATCATATTAGGGGTTCGTGAAAATGTAAAAAAACCGAGTGTTGTCATTTGGATAAAAACCCCATTTTTTCTTTTGAGTGTACAACTTATTCTTTCTTTTCTCTCTCTCTCTCTTTTTATTACCTATATATATATAAAAACATGTTTACTTATTTCGAAGAATGGTTGGATCCCACATTAAAAATGGAAGCGGTGGATTTAAGCAGTTTATTTCCATTAGATTTTTTATATCCAGAAGGAGATGAATTGACTAGTTCTTCACCTTGTTCCAGTAGCGGTACATTTTCATCCTGTTCTTCTTCTGGTTCAACTACACCCGAATTCGAACCATTCGTGCTTTTGGATCTTCCCCATACATTTGTCTTTCCTGAAAAGCAAAAACCCTTTGGCTGTCACATTTGTTCCAGGTCTTTTGCCCGTAAACACGATCTTCACCGTCACATTCGAGTACATACAGGTGCTAAACCCTATTCGTGTTTAAGTTGTGCTAAATCTTTTGCTCGTACAGATGCTCTTAAGCGTCATTTACGTATGGAGGAACATTGCAGAACAAGTCCAGTCATACAAGCCATGAAAGATGCTGGCAATAGACGCTATAGGAATTTATAGACCTCTTAAATTCTCTCTTTCAACCCACATACACACACACACACCAAATTTCCCCCCTTCCCTTTCCCTTTCTTTATAACATTTTACGCATTTTTACGTTTTTTTTTTTTTTTTTTTACCTACTCTCTTTATCCTTATTGTACCTTAATTTAGTCTTTATACCGCACTTTTTTTTTTTCTTTTTTTTTTTTTTTTATGCACTAGTATTTTCTCTCTCTTTTTATTATATATATATATATTATGCCCTATTATATTTTATGTTTATTTTTTTTAAAAAAAAGCCATAGTTGTTATATAAGCGCGCTTTTTTCTCTCTCTTTTTTTTTTTTTTTTTTTGATCATTAAATGTTTTGTTACATAAACAGTTCCACTTGAATGGGTCCATAAGGTTCTGTTTGATGAGGACGAAGCATGTGTTTCGATGCTAATTCTATAAAGAGAAAAAGATAAATATTTTTTCCTATTGTTTGAATTTTTTTTTTTTTTTTTACCAAGTAAGGAATAAAAGCACTGAGAAGCTTTCGATCGATCTTTAGACATGATGAGGTCTGTCACCGTAAATCCATTTTCCAACCACATCCTAAGCTCTCTTTGTTTCTTTTTCAATCAATGAAAAAGGTACTGTTTGGAAAAAAAAAAGTCACTTACTGCAGAAAGAGGTTTTCCTCCAATAAATTATCGAATGCATCAGTTTGAAATCCATCATCATTATCTTAAAAAGGAAGAATTAAAAAAAAAAAAAAATTTTTAAAAAAAAAAGAAGATGTGCGTGCACGCATGAGTTACCAAAGTAGTCAAAGTCATCGACAAAACCAAATGAAGGCATCTCCCGATATGATTTTGCATCTTGCCTATTGTGGAAATTAGCCCTTTTTTTGCTGTGCGTTTATTTTATTTTATTATAGTACATGTCCATATCACCCAAATCAAGGTTATGCATATCAGGAGTATTTGTCAGATCTATAGTATTATACACAAACCAATCATTATTTTTTTTAAAAAAAATTGTCTCACTAAGTAATATTTGATATACCTGAGGAGGTACGTAATTGGATACCACTGCTATTATGATGAGAGGAGGACGCAATACTAGGTTGATAAGAATCCGCTCTTCTCATCTTTTCCATGTATCCAAATTCGGACTAAAAAATGCATAACTTTTTGTGTTAAAATGCATAATTCAACAATAATAACAACAACAAAAAAAAAGTGCCCTTCATCTAACCTCTGACATGGGTGTTGTGGGGAAAATAAATCGATTTCTTTTGATTGTAAAAAATGCGAATTCTTCTGTGACTCCTGACAATCCGATCTTCTTATTCTTTTGAAAAGGGTTAAATGCGATAGAAGGAAGAACAAGAACATTTTCCTGCTTCTTTTTCTTTTCTTGTTGCTTGTTCTTTAAGATCAAGTGTTCGGTGTTCCCATAGAGTTCCCAGGGAAGCACCGTGTCTTCACGACTTTCTAACATCATACGTCGTACCTTGCGTGGCGTTATTCTCGTTTCTTCTTCTTCTTCTTCTTCCGCAGCGGATTCTTCAAAGATTAAAGATGGTACCTAATTTTAACGGTTACATATATTTTTGGTATAATTTATATTTTTTTTTTTTTTTGATCAGGAGTTTTTAATTGAGTAAGCTTCCCCTTGTACTTTACATCGGCGGTATTTAACGTATTTGGAAATACATCACTTTTCCGATTATTCTCAATAGGTGAAGATCCTCCTTTGGAAATGAATGTTGTCAATTCTTCTTGTGGGAAAATATGATTATCGTCGTTTGCATTTAGGTCCCTAACCCGCCGCAAGCGAAAAAAAAAATTAAAGTTAATATAGAATGATGCATCTTTCTTTTTTTATTCGTACATGTCTCCAAATCCGAAATCAACGACTTCCGTAATAGAAGCCTCCTCCCTTTCTCCGTCGTCGTGAAGTAAGATTTCGGGTAAAATATCAGATCCCATCATCATTAGATTATCTCCTAAACTATCCCCCATTCCTACTTCTTCTTCTTCATGATAGATATCTGCACGCCCAATCTATTTTGTGTCTTTGTAAGGCCTTTCTTTTCACGCTTTCTCTCTCCATGTACTTTTTTTTTTTCTTTTTTTTACTTACCAGGTTTGAAAACGGTGTATTAGCTGCCTGAAATTCAATCAAGTCATCTATATCTGGTAACGTAATATATTTCGAGCTTTTTTTTGTTTGTTTGATGGCATCTCAGCTTTCCATCACACAGATAAAACATTTTCCTTTTATTTACCTGATCATGGGCTTCTTCAAATCAATATGCTCCGTGCCTGCATTTAAAGCCAGACATGACTGTAGTTGTGTATACAGTTGAAGTGAATCCTCTACAAACATCAATAGTGAATATAAATAAAAAAAAACCATCCTATTATATGTTTGTGTGTCTTTTGTTGGTAATACCGTATAAGAAGAATGTCTTTTTCTGCATGATAGTGGATACCCCGTGTAACAAGTAAGCCATTGTTTTAAGCAGCATAGCATCTTGTGTATACATCCACTGACTATGTGTGTGGGGAAAAGGGTTAAAAGAGAGAGAGAGAGAGACATGTGGTCAACCCTATAAAACAGAATGCATTTACCAGAGCCTTGGAATATCATACAGCAGTACCGTACGCTTGGATAAATGCCTATGTTTACCACGAGTACACGTCGCTGCATTCCTGTAGATAAATTTAGAGTGTTATTACCAATTTTCTGGGTCATCCCCCCCCCCACAACTTTCCATGCAATCTGCAAATAAGCGTTCTCAGTTGAACTTTCCGACAAGTTCATTCCTCTTTTTTATTAATGAATGAAAAAAGATTGAAGAATTTTTTTAAAAAAAAAAAAATTAAAGTTGTTCCAGCTCTATCAAATCCTGAGATGACGTGGTTGACAACAAGTGTTGAATCTCTTTATCAAGTGCAATAGCTTTTAAATCCAGTGCATGTGTAGCAGGTATCACCATTTGATCGATGAGACTGGTCGTTAATTGACCATACACGCCCGCGTTATATAACTGGGTCATCACATTCGGTAAAGATTTCTCTTGTTGATCACTTTTTGCAAATCGTAAATCGTACCTGATATGACCATTGGATGCTATATACTCCTTCTTGTGTTCCTCATGCATATGTTGTGGTAATTTAGCATAGAGGTCGTGCAAGATTGAGGGTGTGGGTACAATGAGTAAAGGAATGTTCAATTTTGTAGGTGTGCCGTTTTTTTCTTCGGATTGAAAGCATGTAATCTGCAACTTTTCTGTCTATTGAATATTTAAAAAACAGTTTTAGGAAAAAGACTCATATCTTGTAAGGTTTCTTTCTTTTTTATATATACATTGTCTGTGTGAGAGTCAAAACAAGATACAATGATCCCAAAGAATCGATCATCCATCATTTGCTGTGATAACTGTGTCCTAACATCTGCTTTATGATTAGCACGGTGGATCTCTAGTCTAAAAAAAAATGCTACTACTTTACCGACATGCGATGGAAAGACAGTGATATGGGGATGACTATGATACTATGACTTTTTAATGAGAAAAAATCCATATGTTGTGTGTGTGTGTGTGTATGCTCACACACACGCAAATATATCGACTTACCCAGCCAATGACGCCCATGGGAGTACCTGTACTTTCACTAAACTCTTCCGCTTCCAATACAGCGAGATGTAAACACTCAGGAGCGATTTCCACACGGTCTTTGCGTTTATCGATCCGAGTGAGAAAAGAAATATGCTTTACCTGAGCTACTTCTTTTGATGGGTTGTAAGGGTTCTTGCTCGGTATTGTCTATGATATCTTTTTAAGAAAAAGAGAATATGCTGTTGTCTAACAGATATACTTTACTTCCCAGTAACCAATCAACATGCCAATGATCTCTTCCTACAGGTAAATATATATATTGTCAATCTCTTTTTTTTTTTCGTTCGTTGCTATGCACCATTATAAGCTTACATTCTCGGTAGAATAAGCATGAGAGAGGATCAAATGGTAGATATTTGCAGGAAGATTAACTTGATTCAACATTAGTAGAAAAGAGAACAAAAGGGGGGAGAGTGCTCTCCGTTTTAAATGACCGCTTTATACAGTTTGAAGAAAAAAAATATTTTTTTTTCCACTATTTTTGTCGCTAGTCAACCTGTATACAAATGTCCAGCACAGTAAGTCATTCATTGCATACAAGACCTAAAAGAAGGGTTTTCTCAATTGTAAAGTCAGGAAGAACAAGCTGCCTTGATGAAGCAACCCGAGTGGTACATCAAGGCTCAGGATTACTGGAACGGTGTGACACCCACGGTCGATGGCATGTTGGGAGGTTTTTCTGTGGTTGATCCTGTGGATGTCAAGGGTTCACTTAAGTTTATTGATGAATTTATTCATGGACCTCAAGCGGTGTTGACGGATGGGTATGCGTGTGATTGTGGAGCCGGGATTGGCAGAGTCACCAAAAACTTTTTACTCCAAGTGCCGTTCCAAAAGGTAGACCTTGTAGAGCAAGCGCAAGTCTTTTGTGAACAGGCTGAAAAGGAATATTTGGTAGAGGAGATCAAAGAGGGTAAGGTGGGACAAGTGATCTGTCAAGGCTTACAGGATTTTCAACCACAGAAAGGCAAATATGATTTAATTTGGTGCCAATGGGTTTTAGGCCATTTGACCGACGGTAAGCGTCACCCCTCTTTAAAAAAAAGATATGGATGTGTATATTTAATATGACTCTTTAAAAGACCACTTGGTGGCGTTCTTTAAGCGTTGTGCAGAAGGATTAAAAGAAAATGGCTTGATTGGTGTCAAGGAGAATAATGCATCTGGTCAAGCCCTTGTGGATGATGAGGATAGTAGTATCACACGACCCAACGATGAACTGAAACGTTTATTCAAAAAAGCCGGATTAACTTTAATCAAGGAAGATTTACAACGTGGATTACCCCAAGGTTTATTTCCTGTTAGAATGTACATGCTTAAAAAATAAAAAAATTTATTTCATCTTTATGGTGGTAGCAGCACTAGAACTACTACTTCCATCTGATGATCGAATTGAATCTGTTGGTGTAGATTCGTGTGATTTTACAAGTGTTAAAGTATGTGTGGCCACGCGTTCTTGTTGCCTGGGGTCGTGAGTGATCCAGATACATGTTCTTGACTTGAGGTACTTTTCCACTAGCAGAACAGACTCGGGATCGAGTGCCGACGTGGGTTCTACTTATTTGTTAGTGTCTTTTTATAATTCCGTTTTCATTCTTGTTTACACTCACCGTCAAGTAAAAGGACATCAGGGTTGAGTGAGACAGCTACAGCTAAAGCAGCCCGTTGCATTTCACCACCCGACAGGTTAGACCATTTCTCATGAAAGTGGGACTCTGATAGATTCCATTGGACGCCAATCTCGATAGGATTTCCAAATTTTTTATTTTTCTGACTAGCGTATTTTGTAACGAGGTTGAATAGATCGAGTGGTGTTCCAGGATGAACAGCAGGACGTTGAGGTACGTACATGACATGGGAACGCCAAGATGGTATAGAGTAATCCCTAACATCCTTATCATTTAATGTGCTGTAACCATTATTATAAGGTACCAGTTCAGCAATACATTTCAATAAGGTGGTTTTACTATTTAAAAAAAAAATGTTTAATTTGTACTACAGTTAAAATTCCTTCTTTTGAGTGTTACCCAACTCCACTTGGACCACGCATCACAAGCGTATCTCCTTTTTCTAATTCGAAACTGATGTCTCTGAATAACCAACGACCGTCAGGCAATTGCATTGATATATCATGTGCTTTAAACATTATTTTCAGAAAAAGAAAAGAAAGAAGAACGTTTTTTTTATTTGTTGATCTCTCTCTAATTTCTCTCCGTTTTATTAAATATCCGTAATAGAAAGGGATGTGACGTCGTCAATTATGGTTTAAGGAGGGCTTTATTACTGCCCTTTCCATGTGTCTTGCAGAGAGAGAGAGAGTAAACGGGGAATCATCAAAGAAAAATAAAAAATAAAAAAGTGTGACTCTTTTAAGCCAGCTCACACAACTCTTTATTTATTACTGGCTAGCTCTCTCTCTCTTATTTTTTTTTTCTCCTTTCAAAAAAAAAAAGTCTATATACATCCGAGAAAGACCTTGGGGGAATCACATCCATTTAACAGACAAAAAGTTTTACTGTTAGTTAAAATAAAATAAAAAAAAAAAAAAAAATACATATAAAAAAAAAAGGACTCTAAATGACGACGAGTACAAGAGAGGATTGGAAGAAGGATTTCTATAAAAATGGCATGCCTAATGAAGTGATTGTGATAGAGGATACACCACCACCTAGTACAACACCAGTCAATAACACGCCTTACCGTGTTCAACAAAGTATACCTTATTTACTAGGTCCCCCCGCTTCTTCTACACGCTCCAAACGTATCCGAGAGAGTCCTCCTCCTTCTTTCTTGGCTCCTCCACCTCCACCTCCCCCTTCCAACAATACCACCACCTCTGCGGTGAAAAGGAGAAAAAAAGATGGTATTAAACCCTTTTTATGATTTATTATCTTTCTCTACCCTTTCTAACTCTTCTTTCTCAGTGGTTATCAAGAGACCTTCCACTGCCGTTATACCATTACCCACCGTAAGCGCATTTTTTATTTTATTTTTTCTGCTCTTTACAACTCACACCTCTTTTTATTATTAAATAGTCGTGTGATGATAAAGATGGTCATTATATCATTAAGCCGAACGAATCACTGACACCACGCTGTAAAGTATTTATAATGTTGTGTGTATGTAATAGATACTAACCTTGCAGAACGGAAACAGATAAAATGATGAAACTATTAGGCCAAGGTACTTTTGGTAAAGTTGTCGAGTGTTATGATCGAGTGAAACGTACTTATTGTGCCATAAAAATCATTCGAGCCATTCCTAAATATCGAGACGCCAGTAAAATAGAAATTAGGGTACTTAACAGTCTAAAAGAACATGACCCTATCAACCTCAAGTAAGTCTATTATATATATATTTATATAACAGTAAACTAAACCAAGGAGAACTATAGTAAATGCATACATTTAATAGAATGGTTTGACTACTGTAATCATATATGCATGGTGTTTGAATTGCTGGGTCAATCCGTCTTTGACTTTTTAAAAGCCAATGAATTTAGACCCTTTCCCATTCACCATATTCAACAATTTGCAAAACAATTACTTACCAGTGTTGCATGTAAGAGTTGTCTGTGCCTGTCTTTTTTGTCTGTAGTACTGACAATTCCCCCCCCCTTTTTTTTTTATCCTGTAGTCGTACATGAATTAAAGCTTATTCACACCGACCTGAAACCTGAAAATATCCTGCTGGTGGACAGTCAAAGCGTCGAAGCGGGCAATGTAAAAAAAAAGTAGCAGATATTTTGAAAAGGAATTCATGGAATACTAACCTTTATATATATGAACTATAGATGCCTGGTGTAGACCCTAAATCTAGAATACTGCAGAACACGGACATTCGGTTGATTGACTTTGGTTCAGCCACATTTGAACAGGACTATCACTCGACAGTGGTATGTACGCGTCATTATCGAGCGCCAGAGATCATTCTAGGGTTGGGCTGGTCCTATCCTTGTGATATATGGTCAATTGGCTGTATCCTAGTTGAATTTCTGACGGGTGATGCATTATTTCAAACCCATGATAATCTAGAACATTTGGCCATGATGGTAGTGGTGCTGGGAAAAATACCCGCTAAATTAATTAAAGCCGCCAATCGGGATGCACAAAAGTTTTTTAAGGATGGCAAGTTGAAATACCCTGATGTCGATACCACCAAACAAAGCAAAAAATACGTTCGCGCATTGAAGCTACTCAAGGTGAGTTTTTTTTATTTATAACAACCCAATAGCCCTACTCATCTCCTTCTCTTTCAGCACATCATCAACCCTCAAACAAACGCAAGGTATCAATTCCTCGACCTCTTATCTAAAATGCTCGTTTACGATCCAGCACTTCGTATCACCGCACGAGAAGCATTAAGGCATCCCTTCTTCATGATCAATTTTGACAGTCTAGGTCAAGAAATAGCCGAAAACTAAAAAAAAAAAAAAAAATGTACACCTTCTTTTTTTTCATATTATCCCCTCTTTCTTTTTTAGAAGAAAAACTAATAATTGCCTCACTGATAAAAAAAAAAAATCTACCAGAACAGCCAGTAGAATAAAAAAAAAAAAAGAAGAAAAAAAAAATAGAAAGAGGCCAAACAGTTTTTTTTTTTTATTTTTTTATTTATTCATCTAATTCACCTAAATGCTGTGCCAACTCCAGATTTTTACTATAAAGCAAAAGCACTTCACTTTCAAGCACACCAATCTTATCTTGTAATTTATCCATGGCTTCTTGACTTTTGGTTTGATGCACCTCTAAACATGCTTGCACCTGTTTCAATCGATCTTCTTCCTTTTGGCTTCTCTTTACATCTTGTTCATGCTGACGTTCTAAATCTTCTACTTCTGTTTGTAGTTCCACCAATTGCCCAGAGAGTGTACGTAGTTCTCGCGATATCTGCACTTGATACGTATCACTGATCTTTTTATGTTCCCTTGTCAGTTGTATTTTCATTTCGTCAAGTCGGGTATTCAATTCTAATTGCATGCGTTGATCTCCTTGTTTCTTTAATTGTTCCATAGCACGTTGACTCTTTACAAGTTCCTGTCCCATCTTGGCCAATTCACCATCTTTTTCCGCCACCGTGCGTCTAAGGGCCTGTTCCATCTCGGCCGATTGAGCCTGACGTTTTTGAACGGCTGCCTTGAGCGCCACTTCAGCCGCTGAGGTCTGTGCCAAAGCTAATTTTGTTTTGAATGCGGTGGTTTCCGCTGCATGGTGTACACGTTGTACCTCGGCTTCTAATTCGACTTGTTCAATGCGAGTTTCTGCCTCACGTAACAAACCCCTCAGTGCCATATTTTGAAAATCATCTTCATCCTCCTCGGTATCAAACGCACGTAAATCTTGCTCTAAACGTTCGGCCTTTTCGGCATGTCGTTCTCGGTCGGATTTGACTCCCTCTAGTTCTTCCATCATCACTTCCATCTCTTGTCTTACGTCGTCCAACAGGCTCTCCATCTCTTGTGCATCTTGTTTTAGAAGTGTATGATCCGTTGTCAGTTGCGTATGGGAACGAAAAAGTGTGGTATGACGCTTTTGTAAGGTTTTCAGTTGACGTTTGGTAGAGGTATGTTGTTGACTTAACGTCTGAAGTGCTTGCGCTAATCTTGCATGTTTGTCCACGTTTTGCGACACTCCTTTTGTTGTTCTGTGTTGCGTTGCACTTGATATCCAATTTTCAATCATCTGAGTCGAAAAAATCAGTTGCTCCCTTTCTTTTGTGTTGTCTTTTATCGGAAGGTAACTATGACAATTAGTAAGTTGGAATATATAAATATAAATCTACAACAAAAAAAAAAAGGATAGGGATGTTTACCTAGAGTGAGCGACATGGGATGTTTGGCTACTAAATCTTTAATTTCATTTAATGTATTCAAGACTGGACCCAGGACAACATGGTCTGTGTCACGAAAAGAGAAAGGTGGGTCACTCTGACGGTTATCAAGAAAGGTTTGAATTTGAAAGGACATGTCTTTGACGATTGTATGATTGG